AAACAGAGAATAGAAATGTGTTCACAAGTGTGCAATTACTATGCATTCATTCATACCAACCACACCATAAATGGCTTTTGCTGAATTTCAAGTTGTCTATAAGGTACACACTGAAAATATCATTTTATTTTCTGTGCTTTGCTATGACATATTACTCAACAAATGCCATTGAATGTCAAGGATGTTAAAGCTGCCACATCACATCAGAAGGGGAAAAGGTTACTATTTATTTTAAAGTGTCTTTGTAAAGTGTCTAATATTTATTAGCTACATGAACTTAAAGGGTTAGGGTTTGGTTTGGGGTTAGTTGCACAATTAATGAATACAATTATGCAGAATTTATAGTTATTACAACTACATGTAAAATAAAGGTGTTACCAGGGAACATTATCAGTGACCAATGTTAGTATGTTCGTTACTCAGGGTTATCATTTGGCTTTAGAAGACATGGAATTAGGCATGAATTGTTTGGACAACAGTGCATTTATGGTACTTTTTAGAACTTGAACATTGTGGTCACCGCTGTATGTAAAAGAGCTGCGTAAACAACAGGATGTTTAAAACAACGTTACTTGAGTAAATGATGGCAAGATTTTCATTTTTGAGTGAAATAGTAGCCTATAGTAGCCCATTTGGAATGGGTTGTAACACTACAGAAAAGTTTTAATTATGTAAATGCATGTGTCAACTAAAATTTGAAGGAAAAAAAAACATATCAGACCCTGTCCAAGTTGCTAATGCATTTGATCAATTTTTCATTAAATCCGTACAAGATTTGGCTTCTAATTTTTCAGACGGCGAGCCCAATAGTAGCAACTTAAATATATCGTCATCAGCAAATGAGAATTCCTTTAAAATTAGACAAGTGGATCAGGCAGTGGTATTTCAGACCTGAATACCAATTTATCCAAAGACAACAACATAGATACAACTTTCCCTCAAATTATCATCCAACCTTTGACCCACATTATAAATGTCTCTATTAAAACTGGAATATTTCCAGATGCTTGTAAAAAGGCACTGGTTAAACCCATCTTTAAGTCCAGGAATAGTCTAGTTCCGGTAATGTCAAAAATACTAGAAAAAAATTGTTTCAGAACAGCTGACTCAATATTTAGAAACAAATCAGTATATACACCCTCAACAGTATGGTTTCAGACAGAACCATTCCACTGAATCAGCTATCTGCGCATTACTGGAAAATATTGTGCAGCCGCTTGATAAAGGAAACATTGTGGGTGCAGTATTCCTGGACTTAAAGAGGGCATTCGATACAGTAAACCATAGCAATCTTATCTCAAAATTGTCATCCTTTAATACGTCACACCAGGCATTTTTATGGTTCGAGTCATACTTACAGGGCTGAGAACAATGTTATTGATCATGTCAAATCTGCCCCATGTAAAATTAAGAGCGGAATCCCTCAGGGAACCATACTGGGGCCTATTCTCTTCAGCCTGTATGTGAACAAGCTGCCTGAAGTGTGTCCTGAAGTTGGCATTCAGATGTATGCAGATGACACTGTGGTTTATGTGTCTGGCAGTGGCAAAAGCCCTGCTGTTATCAACAGTACACTGACCAAAAGTCTTGAGAAAGTGTTTAATTGGCTAAACAAATCCTGTTTAACACTTAATCTGAAGAAAACTAAATCCATGTCTTTTTTTATAAAAAGAACTCAGACAATAAATGACCTTAACATCAAAATGAATGGGGAACTTATCGATCAGGTAGAACAAGAAAAATATTTAGAAGTAATTTTAGATTCTCAGCTAAACTTTAAAAGTCATGTCAAAAACATCTCAAGAAACATGAAGGCCAGTATGAACTGTTTCAGAATGATCAGGAGCTGTCTAACATTTGAATGTGCTCATGTCTTTCTGAACACTATGATCCTGTCCCACCTGTCGTACTGCACCACTGTTTGGTCTCAGACCAGCCAAACTACCATAAAGCCTATTGAGAGGCTTATAACAGTGCCCTAAAAATGTTAGATAAAAATCCCATTTGATTCCATAACTGTTACATTTTAGGTAAATATAAAATCTTAAACGTTGTTAATTTTGTTAATCTTAGACATATAAAGTTGTTTTTTAAATGTTTGACTGGGCTTGCACATGAGCCACCTTGTAAATGTGTGAACAGGCTGGAACCCTCCAGATCAACAAAAGCTGCTACATGTGGAGACTGTAAAGTTCCATTTTGTAGAACATCTTTTGCCCAAAATGTTTTTTTCTGTGAAAGGAGCCAATCTGTGGAACTGTCTTCCTACAAATATAAAGACTTTAACTAAACTGTCCACCTTCAAAAAACAAACAAAAGCCTGGTTCATACAACAGCAGCAGTGTGATCATGCCATATGAAATGTATATCCGTGTGTGCATCTGTGTGAGTTTGAGTGAATGTGTTCATTTACTACACTAACTTTTATTAGTGCTGACTGGTTTCTGGACATTTTATTCTATTCACTGTACATTTTGTACTCCTTCATTATCTTAACTGTTAAAAGCCCTTAAAGGAACAGATGTTGCAAATTAGCCACGGCTATAAACAGGCATCTGATTTTTTTAAAAGTAATAATCGATGTTTTTTTTTGTATCTGTCCCTATTCAAAATAAACAATAAATAAATGTATTTTGGTAAACAAACCATGATGGTCAAATTAATTTTCAATTCAATCCCATCTAAATTCAAAAAGGGCAAAAATGTTAGTTTAATGGAGACACTTTTGTTTAACCCCTTAACTGTCACCGTATACGGGACGCTTAACTTTACTTCGCTATATTACAATTAAATCCTAATCTAATTATGACAAACTATATATGGTTGGAAAGGTCTAAGACTCCTAAATAGCTATTTGACTGCTGTTTTTTGCTACACATTATGTAGGAAGAGTAACCGATGATTTTTTGACAAGAGTGCACCTCAAAAAAATCTGCATCATAACAGGAGTTCTGACCTTTGTCACAAAAAGTTGACGCACACACCTTTAATAATTGAAACTTTGGTTTTCATGCTAGAAGTTCATCATAAAACATATAATCTAGTATTTTTCAATAAAAAATTATAATATAATATTATCCTCTAAAAAGTATAATATATATATTATCCTCTAAAATATAATCATATATTTTTTATCGCCTTTTTTATTACATCACATTTAATTTTAGTAGTTATCATAAATTAGGTATCATTTGAAAGCTTACAAACTCAGAATTCATCCTGTGAAAACCATTTTGAAATTGAACGTTACGTTACCATAGAAACAGTACTCTAAATTATTTTATCAGGCTCCTCCCCTTTTGGGCATCATTATATTTCATAATTTATGATCAAAACCTATTCTAATCTTGACAAAACACATATTGTCAGAACGGTCTAAGTCTCAAGGTTCCAAATTTTGTGACAGAATTGATATTTGGACAGAAATTGATTAATTTGTTAAGGCAGAATGCCTTATACAACTAAATTCAATGGAATGTATGTCACCCGGTGGCTATTTCTGGTACTACGCCTAACAAAATCTCATGGGAACTTCAATTTTTGTGATATCAACTTCGAATTTGGAACACTACTTGGTTAGATATATAGCTTTTGATTTTTTGATTTTAAAGTAATTTTAGAGTAAAAAATATTTTGTAAAATATATATTTTTTATAAAATAAAAATATATATAGTACAGTATTTTTGATTTACTGTAAATTTAAACTTCCATAACTTTTTCATACTTTCATTTTTTTAAGTGTTTTCACTTCAGCAATAATCTGCTGAGTGTTTCCTTTAAAACAATACCAAACTTAGGTCTATATTCCAAAGCATTCTTGAATTACAACCATTTAAGTTTGAATAGTGCATTTTAACCCCCATTCTCAAAAAGGGGGGTGACAGCGAAGGGGTTAATGTCATAGTCAAAATTCTGGCTTTGATGACATGCAGAAAAGGAATGATGGATCCTAAATGAAGAATTAATCCTTTGAATTAAACTGAAATGAGATTATGTGCTGTGAATTATTCAGAAATGTATTGAATTACTCAAATCTCCCTAATACAATGGTTACTGGAAAAACAAGTTATTCAAAATAAGGACTAAAATGTATACCAAATAACTTTAATCCTGCTCCTGACCCACTGTCCTGGAGAGTACAGCGCCAACCCAAACAAACCAGACTTGAACCAGCTAATCAATGTGTTCAGGATCCCTTAAAAATCAGATGCTTCTCAAACGGAAGGCTATTGAGGCTGAGTCCTAGTCTAGTCCTTCAGAGGCTTGTATGCTAGACTCCTCCTTAGTATTAAACGCTAGAATGAGACGGTCTAATAAGAGCGTATGGCTACGTCACACATGTTCACGCCACCATGGTCATGGCACGAAAATACTATTAAAACTTAATTTTGGAAAAATCTTTCAATGAACTGGCTTCCCATTCATATAATACAGTGAATGACAGCCGTCTTTGGTCAGTGGCTTACATTATTGTCAGTTTAGTGTTAAGTTATTAATTTACACCAAAGCAAAAGATAGCATGCCTTCATCTCCAAAACTTTACTTTTGTCTTACATTTCATAATGAACTCAGACAAGCTCAGTGCTGACTCATTTTACGTCAGTTGTTTTTTGTGAAGTAGAATGTGTGCAAAGGATTGTGGGCGATTGAAGAACGCGGAGGATAAACTTGATGTATCCTTCAAAGTGAGCTGAATGGAAGGATGTGAAACAAAGACCTGTCCAAATACTCACACTTGTGGTCTGTTCGGTTGACAGCTTGTCTGCTTACACAACGTATTTCCAGAGTTTGGCCAGAGTTTCCAAAGTGTTGAAGTGGATGTGAAGATCGCAAGTGTTTTTAAAATGTGCAACACTTTATGTTTAACAATCTAATTAAATGTTCCTGAACGTGATGCATGACAGATTACGCTGAGCCTCAAAGACCGCTCCGAAGCAATATTATGGGATAGTGTCAGTGTGAACCACATGCGGTTTTCAAATAAGCCTGAAGTGTGTGTTTAATTAGGGTTGAAGCTAAACTCTGCAGACCAGTGTCCCCAGCCATCCTCCAGTTTTAGAAAGTTTGCAGGAGATGCAGATACTGTTTGAAGTATACCGGTATAATACTGACCCATTTGCTTTTTTAATTTAGAGATCCTCCAGCGGTAGTAAATAAAAGCAGCTGCGAACAGAAGAACAGCAACTAAAACACCAAAACATATTCCTGCTATTGCACCCGAAGAAAGACCTGGATCTGGGACAGCTATAAAGAGAAATAGTGAAAGTGTCAGTCAATGTGATGGTCTGAAATGACTTCAAATAAATGCTCATAATACTGTATGCCGTTACATTGAAAGACTAGCTCTCTCAGTTACTCAGAGTGACTCACCATTGACAGAAAGAAGGAATCGCTGCGAGCTCTCACGGCCTCTGATCTGTAGTTCATAAAGTCCAGTGTCTGTGGTTCTAGTGTTAGTGATAGTCAGAGATCCAGTTTGATCCAGTTTCAGTCGGTCTCTGAATCTCTCATCAGCATCGTTTAATGAGGTCTCTTTAGTTTCCACATCAATTTTAGCCAGGAGAATTCCTTTATCTCCAAACCTCCACAGCATCAGATCATCTTTGTGCATTTCAGCATCAGTGTTTAGAGTGACAGACTCTCCCTCCATCACTGACACTGACAGTAACTTCAGTCCATCTATCTCACCAACCACAACTGCAAATCAAGCAGAAAAGTTTTTCACAACGTTTCATCATAAATTTTGTACGAGTTAGTCGGTTAGGATTATGAAATCCTGCTTGTGTGCTGCAAAATCTGGAAACTCTCACTTCTTTTGAAATACTTTGATAAATTCATGACATGTATCACTTTATTCTCTTAAACCTATTTAGTTTGAATTCAATTTCAGCACATTCAAATAATAAACATTATGTTATGTGTTGGATATCTTAAAGCCCCAGAACGAAACTGTTCGCAGAAATTAACAGACTAAGAAAACTATTTAATATGGTGTTTTAATAAGAAAAGAAAATACTATGGTAATTTTTTTTGAAACCTTTCATATAAACAAATTCTATAAATATCAGTAGTTTTAATGCTGTAAAAATAATTGAAAAACTTTTTTCCGGTCATTTGTATATTCTCAAATGTGTCAGGGTAGCGCAACTGCCAACATGGGTCTTTTATTATGAATTGACAATAATGACAGTACGCATGAAAATGCATCAACCAGAGAAGCCCAAGTGATCCTTGTGGAAAAGTGAAAAGGTTTGTATAGATACCTCTCAAATACTGATAAAAACAGCTACTTTCAATTATGGGTGGTTGGTACACTTTCCGTGTCAGGTGGTACAACCAATGTAAAACTAGGAAAATGCAATCTTCTTTATTGTATTTAAAAATGTAATGTATGAACTTACTCGCATATGTAAAAGCTACAGACATCCAAATAGATGCCAGTTCAATGTAAGATTAGGTGGTGTAACTGAAATGAATGTCTTTATGTGTTACGATGTGGTTTTGTGTCCTGTCATGTTCTGTGGTTCCCTGTCTTGTTCATTAGTTATCCCAGGTGTTTCTTGTTATCCACGCCCCCTTGTTATCCTGTCTGCTCGTTTGTCTCTGATTATTTAAGCCCTGTGTTTCTGCCCTGTCTTGGTCAGTTATTGTATGTTTTTACGTACCACGAGTGTCTTGTCTGTTCTGAGTTTACTAAGTTACCCAAGTCTGTATTATTAAAGTTTTCTGCTGCATTTAGATCCGACTACCGCCTTTGCTTCCACGCAATTCGTGACAATATGACTATTTAATATAAATAAATATTACATTTAAGCTAAGATCACCTCTTCTCATCCTATTTTTTTATTATTGTTCTAATATATATATATGTGTGTGTTTTATTTTTCTTACAATTATTTGGTTGTACCACCTGACACGAAAACAGTAAACAACAGTAGTGAATTTAAACACTTTGAAATGTTAGATTTAAAGAGAGATTTTTTAAAAATATCTTTTGTTTAAACTTATTTTTCATCCACCCACATGAGTCATATTCAGATGTGTGGTTTGAAATAATGAAATCTGAATAATCATAAATACTAACACAGGGTAAATATGAATAGTGTTCATGTTCATATTAGGAGTTTAAAATTACCATATTATTAACACATGATCATTGTTATAATGAAAGACTTGATATACTCACCAGTGACAGTAACATTAAATATCTTTGTCGTAGTCTTTTTTCTAGAGATGTAGAGTTTATATTGTCCCGAGTGTCTGAGTCTGGTGTTTCTGACGGTGAGAGATCCAGTCTTTTGGTCCACCTGTAATCTGCCTCTGAATCTCTCATCATCAGTAAAATAAACTGGAGTCAAGTCGTCCTTTCTCGTTATTTGAGATATGACAGAATCTTTAGGTCCAAACAGCCACAGTATGGTATCATCGTTCCGTATTTCAGTAAGATTAGTGTGTAGAGTAACAGAATCTCCCTCCATCACTGACGCAGGCTCAGATTCATCCGTATCTGTATCAGACACACCTGGAATACAAACAGAACCAGTTTTATGATACCACACTAACTTCAGCTAAATGATCATTGTGTTAGCTGCTGAAAAGAAAAAAACAACAACAGATGGATTACTGTTCAGGTAATCAGATTCAGGTGTGTTTCCCAAAAGTACTAACAAAACTACAATAGCAAGTTTCAATGAAATCTGTTGGTAACAACTAAACTTGCGACCATAGTCGTTTTTTGAAAAATGCACCCCAGTTATAAATACGAAATTTAAGAGCATACACAACAAATAGCTAAGCATTGCAATATAAATGTACTTGAGAAGCAACACTGCATAAGCGATTAACACTTTTCAGATTGTATCTTGAAAATAAATATATTGTCTTACTGCACTAACAGTGTTTTTTATTTGTTTCTCTTAGTTTTTACAAGTGAAACAATAAACTAAATTTGCATTATCTGAAACAACAAAGTCTCCTGCATGCTTCTCAAATAAATGCATCTTGTCTCAGAACAAAAATACTCATCAAGAATAGGATTTTTTTTGCAGTATGTTATCTCTGTTGGACTTATTGCCAGCACTGCACAATTGGGTATTAGTATGTAAAGTACGTTTTTGTATATTTAGCAAACCAGATTCTATCGATGAAGATGCACTGTTTACTAAAAACAGTCAGTAAGCTTTTTATCAACCAAAAACTACATCAAATTTGAATGTTCAAGGCCTCATTATATTTGAGGGTGTATGGAATCGAAAGGATCAATGAAAAACTAGCATATAACATCATAAAACATAATGGTATGAGATACATATGCTAGAAGATAGAGTTAATTTCACTTCCAACGTTAGTTGGTCCAATATTCAGCCATAAAATCAAGTGATATTGGCCTTTTCTTTTATTGTTAGACAGCTCCTGATCATTCTGAAACAGGTAATACTGGCCTTCATGTTTCTTGAGATGTTTTTGACATGACTTTTAAAGTTTAGCTGAGAATCTAAAATTACTCCTAAATATTTGTCTTGTTCTACCTGATCGATAAGTTCCCCATTCATTTTGATGTTAAGGTCATTTATTGTCTGAGTTCTTTTTATAAAAAAAAGACATGGATTTAGTTTTCTTCAGATTAAGTGTTAACCCTTTGATGCACAACATGGGTCTAAATAGACCCGACTGAGTTTTAATTGTCTATATCTTTGCAAGAAATTAATTTCATCATTCAGTATTCCAGGTATTCCTCAATTAACTTGTTTTTGATCATCACAAATCCTTATTTTTATTTTTACTTTCTTACTTTTTGAATAAAAATAGTTTTTGTATCACAACCCTTCTAATGCGCAACATGGGTCTAAAAAGACCCGTATTCATTTCCTATGTTATTTCAGTGATGGCTGAGTGTTTTCTTTGCTGAATCTTTAAAATATATGTATTTTATCATTTGTTATTCCAGGTATTCATTAAATATCTTGTTTTTGATTTCCACAAATCATTATGTTTATGTTTCCTTTCTTACTTTATAAACAAACACAGTTTTTGTATTTCTACATCAATTTTACATACACGGGTCTAAAAAGACCCGTATTCATTTCCTATGTTATTTCAATCATGGCTGAGTGTTTCTTTGCTGAATCTTTAAAATATATGCATTTTATCATTTGTTATTCCAGATATTCATTAAATATTGATATTTATGTTTTCTTTCTTACTTTATATACAAACAGAGTTTTTGTATTTCTACATACATTTTACATACATGGGTCAAAAATGACCCATATAGAAACCTTTGATATTTGCACATATTTGCAAGTAGGAACATATTTACTGCATAAATACTATTACTATAGTATTATTACATAATACTATTCACCTGCCACACATTTCACAACTCAACACTGCTGCTTTTGTATATTTGATGCAAGTCTTATTTTATTTTAACCACAGAAAATATTTGATATTTTGTAAAAGATAACTGGACATAATATTTGAATATTAGGCTATGGTTACTTGACCATGAAATCCTAGTGAGAAATTACTTGTGAGAAAGAGAAACATATCCAATACTATTAGCTAGCTAGCTGTCGACCTATTCTATTCTAGCTAGCTAATGTTAGCTACACTAAAAAAAGATGGGTTTTTAAAGGGGAACTCAGCAACTCTAGCTATTTCTTCGCTGATCTTCACTTTTGTTGTCGCATGTTTTCTCAACGAGCTCCCCCTACAGCTGTGGGACGTATATTTCACAACAATGTTGTAAAAAAAACTCACTTGCGGCCCCTCCTCCCCCTTTCTACCGCTGCTCATGTGCATTTGTTATTATCGGAGCCGGCCAACTTTATCGTGTGGAGCTATACCGAGGTGGGTAATACATCATACACAGTGAGGGCGGCGTGTGTGTTTATGTCGAATTGCCATAAAGCATTTAGCGTTTCTCACTCGTTCTCGCTTCTCACAAGACTTCCTGTTTCCAACTTACTGGGACGTTAGTCCCCATGTTGCAAGGTTGGTTTTCCGCCTAGGAACGTTGGGGGGAGCAGAGAAAGTCACCATTTTCACCAGAACAGGTTATTAAACCATCCAAATGATTTCTAAACGGTTTTATTAAGTTGAAATAGTTGCCAAATGCCCCTTTAAAGCTTATTTACATGTAATAGGCCTAAAAGTTCTATTAAGAACCATATAGTCTTGAATAAGCCATTATGCTGAAATGGTTCGATGTGTTAAGAGTTTAGGGTCCTTTTTTCCCCGCCTTTTGATTTTAAAATCTGTAACTGTCAAAGCCACCTGAAATAACATAGGAAATGAATACGGTCATTTTAGACCCGTGTATGTAAAATTGATGTAGAAATACAAAAACTGTGTTTGTTTATAAAGTAAGAAAGAAAACATAAACATAATGATTTGTGGAAATCAAAAACAAAGATATTTAATGAATACCTGGAATAACAAATGATAAAATGCATATATTTTAAAGATTCAGCAAAGAAACACTCAGCCATGATTGAAATAACATAGGAAATGAATACGGGTCTTTTTTAGACCCGTGTATGTAAAATTGATGTAGAAATACAAAAACTGTGTTTGTTTATAAAGTAAGAAAGGAAACATAAACATAATGATTTGTGGAAATCAAAAACAAGATATTTAATCAATACCTGGAATAACAAATGATAAAATACATATATTTTAAAGATTCAGCAAAGAAACATTCAGCCATCACTGAAATAACATAGGAAATGAATACGGGTCTTTTTAGACCCATGTTGCGCATTAGAAGGGGTATCCATAGCTTGCGCATCAAAGGGTTAAACAGGATTTGTTTAGCCAATTAAACACTTTCTCAAGACTTTTGGTCAGTGTACTGTTGATAACAGCAGGGCTTTTGCCACTGCCAGACACATAAACCACAGTGTCATCTGCATACATCTGAATGCCAACTTCAGGACGCACTTCAGGCAGCTCGTTCACATACAGGCTGAAGAGAATAGGCCCCAGTATGGTTCCCTGAGGGATTCCGCTCTTAATTTTACATGGGGCAGATTTGACATGATCAATAACATTGTTCTCAGCCCTGTAAGTATGACTCGAACCATAATAATGCCTGAAATGCATAACTAACAGGACAGCAGTGATGTATGAACTTAATGTAGCAACAATACAGTGAATTACAGTGAAGCAATTGAATATATACCATAAATAAAAATCATAAAAATTATGTAAAAATATATTTTTCCAAAATAAGTGTTGTAGTATAACTGAATTTGGCAACAATGCAGTGCATTACAATGAAGTTATTGAATATTTTCCAAAAATAAAAATCAAGTTATGCAAAAATACTTTTTCAAAACCATCAGGACAGATTGTGTTTGTAGTAGGCTATGCCTAACGCTTTTCTGGTTTTGCACTTTACAGACGGTCCCTTTGGATCTGTCTCTCAGATGCGCATAAAGATCAGTGTATTTTGTCCACTGCGAAGGAAAGCTCGTTTCGAAGAAAATTATGTTGTAGCTGCTTGTCTACGTTACGGCGATTAAAAAGAGCTGTTATTCGTGTAGTAACAAAGTTTAGTTCACGAGTTATTAATCCGGGAAGTTCGAATGATTTTCACTTTTCACTGACTTGACTACCACAGACCCCTGTTTCATAGTCAATTTCGGCAGCAGTGGATTCAAATTCGATGACCACGGATCACATAGGCCTATATGACATTATTCACTAGGCTAATGTTCATTATTAATTTCCATACATTTGGCGTAGAAATGGCTTCGTGTTTCGAAACCGAAAGGAAAAAAAGAGACTTAGCCTACCGTAGATTAATAACAAGCATAGAAAGAGTAATAGTATGCCTATGTGCCGCATCTTGTTGTAGGGTTGTGAAGAATCTGAATTAAAAAAAGATGATTCATTAGAATGAATTAGTTTATTTTAGAATCCGCTTGTTCGTCGTCCACCACGTAGCCTACGCCCAGCAAACTAGCCTACTGACTCTGTTCTTCCTTGATGACACCCTGCTGTCATCAAACACAGTAAACGTCGCGAGCTTGAGGAGTTGTATGATGACATAGCATTTGTTGCCTAGAAGAATGCCTACAGCTATATTACCAAAAGTTGTAATACAATCACGTGACAATTCGTCACTAATTTATGTTTTGGCGGATGGCTGTTAAAACTATATTCTCATTTTAGGCTATTTTTTTTTTTTCAACCCCCACTTGGACGTTTTCCTACGACTCGCATTGTTCGAATTCATACGAAATTGCAACCTCATAAAAAAGTAGGACAAAGTGTAGCTAAAACATTTTACACATAGCCTTGCCTACGTAATGTAGACCCGCTGCTCTCTCAACTGGACAGGCTATAGCCTACACTGATAGCCCCTGCTTAATGAGGGAGCAGTATATGAAGTAGGCTATATACGCATATGAAAGCCATCTGGCAAAGAATCAAGAGCACACATTTTCCTGGTTCGTTTAACACGAACACCCCCCTGACCTCCCCCCTTTAAAAGCGTTTACTTTTAACTGTAAGAAAACGTAATCAATACGTTTGACATCCGCTGGCAACCCGCAGTGGGAACGCCTACAATTTGTTCATGTGAACTAAGATGTGATGTGAAATGTAGGCTAAAGGTTTACTGCGTGATTACGGTTGAAGACAAACGGCTAAGGAATATGGTTAATGCTTTTATTTGGTTCTTTTTGAGCTTGTGGCGTCTGTTTGGTAAGTTATAAACAATTTGCATTATAGTGGTTCTCATAAAACATTTCTCAATATCTTCTCTCTTTAATATCTTTTATTAATATAAGTTGAGAAATTTTGTGGAAGGGATTCCAAAACAGAATCTGTAACTTTATTCGTCTAAGAAAATGTCTGCATAATAAAAATCACTTTAACGGATAATTATAATTATAAGTGATAGTTTGGTCATTAATAACAAACATCTTCTTTCTTTTTTTTTTGTCTGTTACAAAATATGTTTCCTTTTTTTCTCTAGACATGTCAGATGCAGTGAAGTCAGTGTCAGTGATGGAGGGAGATTCTGTCACTCTAAACACTGATGTCATTGAAACACAGAAATATTTGTACATACAGTGGATGTTTGAAAGCACTCGAATCGCTGAAGTCAGCAGACTCACACAAACCAGCTTGACGTATGATGGTCCTGATGAGAAATTCACTGACAGACTGAAACTGGATCAAACTGGATCTCTGACCATCACAAACACCAGAATCTCAGACTCTGGACTTTATAAAGTAACAGTTATCAGCAAAGAGGCCAGCTACATGAGTTTCAATCTCACAGTCTATGGTGAGTAGAGAATAACAGTGGTAGCATGACCATTCTTGGTATATCTTTTAATTTTTGAGATTCCTTACATGCACATTTAATTTTGTTACTGGCTTTAATTCCGTTTAAAATATGGATCTACTATAAATAAAGAGCAGGAGTGTGTTTGATGAGACTAATTTCACAGTATCATCTGCCATTATCAGAGTCTGCTCAAAGTACTTCATCAACAGAAAGATCATCAAGCTCCAACTTTTTCTCGTCCAGCTGTGCTGTGAACAATTCATCCGTCATCCAGACTCAGGATGCCAACATTACTGAACTCTATCAGCCAAGTTCAGGTACGTCACTCACTCTTACTCTGTTAAATGTTTTCAGTCAGTGTGATATTAGTTCCTGTAAAGCTTAAAAAGATTATGTCAGAACGGAAACACTCGTGCACTTGTGACCAAACATATTCATAGGTGTTGTCACTGCTGATGCGTGCTGAACCATCAACCACATAAACCAATTAATATAGCAAGATTTTTATTAACAATGCATTAATGCATTTGACAGAGGATTTAATCCAAAGCAACTTGCATTGCATTCAAGGTTTACATTTGATCGGCTCATGCATTCATAGAAACAATGAGTTGCATTTGCTGTTTTTTCTTTTGTGATTTACTGTAACTGGAACAGAACAGACCGCAGAAGAGCGACAGAGACGTGAAGCAGGTGTGTGTGCGCGCGCAAGTGAGTGGGGTGTTGCTTTAGAAAACATTAGTGCAGAAAAAAATCTTGGAGAAAGAGTCACATAATCACAGGTTTAGAGCTGAGGTTAAAGAACTAGAACTAGACTCTAGAATTATATTATATTAATTATTTTAAACAATACTAGCAAAAAGTATTTAAAAAAAGAACTAAATGCACAATTCTGATTCAGCTTTTTTCTTTTTTTTTCAGACCACATCCACTGTTGTGGTTTCACTGAAGCTGTGATCCGATTGGTCGTCTCTGCTCTGGTGGGCGTGGCTACTGTTGCTGTGCTGGTTTATGACATCAGATCTACAAGAAGTGAGCTGACCAGAGAAGAAGAGACCAGACATCACTGTCAGACTCCTGGAGTCAAACCAGACCAGCAGTGTGAAATGAGCAGAAGCTTTAGTTCCAGATATGTTTGCTGAAGTTTACTGGTATAATCATGAAAATAAAACATGCATTAATCGACAGATTTCCTATACTTACATAGCTGTTTATTAACAGATTGTTTTTCATCCACATTTATTGATTGTATTTGCACAGAATATATTTTTCATTTATCTTTTCAATTAAATTCATGACTGCAAACATAATTACCCTAAACAAAATAATAATTAGCAGCGTGATGCATCAGAATAATTATAAGCTCTGTTGAAATGACTCTTGGTGAATGTTTTTGGTGACTTTTAATAAAGATTTAGTTTTACAACAACTATTGTCCACTTTTATTATCCATCCTTAAACAATATAGTTCAAGGTATGTGATTTACAGAATTCATGTGACACACTAGCAGCTCCAGACTGTGAGTCGAAACTTTTGTGGTCTCAGTTATTCACATCTGTACAGCTGTGGTTTAATCTGATGGCTGGGCAAACTGTTTGTGAATGAGTGCAGCTAGAAGAATTAAGGATATTGGGAAATTAAAAACAGTTCAATTTGTTTAAAAGCAGCGGGCCTTATTAATAGGCATTAAGGAAACTTGTGCAGATTTCAGAACCGGATACTAGGAGCTATACTCTTTACTGCCATATGAAGATATTAGTCAAGTCAAGCCACCTTTCCTTATATAGCACTTTTTACAATACAGATTTTTCAAAGTTTTACAGTGATAACAGGAAAATAATGCAACAACTGTTTCTGATGTACAGTAGATCTAGAAGAAAATAGTGTCATTGTCCAGCTTAAGTGAGTTCAGTGATGGTTCATTTTTGTTGTAAAAAATGTTATTAATTTAGTTCATATAGCTCTGGAGAAAACAGTGATATCTTCGTCCAACATCGTTTACTACGTACAGCCTCTAGGTGGAGCTCCAGCAGTGCCATTCGTTTCAGGAGACACCTGTCCTGAACTGGACATCATGATTCATGACTAGTTTACTGAATGGCAGACACGAACACAATCATCAAATTACTGTTCCTGGAGACTTTGTTCCTGTGAATTTTACATTTTTAAATTAAAATGGAATTTTCTTTTCATTAGTGTTCTGTTAACTGCGTTAATAGATAAAGACCATAGTATGTTTATGATCTAAATGTATGCCTCAGACATCACACCCATGGACCGTTGGCTGAACGTCTAATGCATATGCCACACAAAATCACTGTCGAATGACATCCAGCTCCGGCTCTATGGACATCTAATAGGGTGGAGGGATAGAGTTGTGGTAGGGGTTAGGGTTTGGTTAGATATTCTAGCTCCACCCATTAAGCCCAAATTACATTTGCTCCTTCTTACTGGTTGTCTAGCAGGGAGGAGCTAGACGTAAGCTCCACCCATTTGTTCTGCAGTGAGCAGTTCTTTAACGGTCCACCTGGAAAAAAAGCCATCGTGATGCCAAACAGAGTGTTTCAGTGTGACAATGAGCGCTTATCAGGATAAACTAAACACTGGATTTTCAAAAGCATGTGAAGTTAGTGGCACCACTTTTGCAGTAAACGTTCTGGAATGAATAGTTTATTAGATGCACGCCAGTCTGTTATTGTAGGGACACAGTCTTTACATTGTCATCCCCCTTAACATGCAGGGATCAAAATGAAATTGTCAGTCAGACGGCTTCTGGGTGGTCCTTGGCCAATGAAAGCTGCGACTTTCTGCCGTCAGTCTGAAGCTCTGGCTACGCAACACTATGTAACCTGTAAATATGTCAGTTAAAGTTTAGGTTTGACTTGATGTAGTGTGTCCAAAGATTATATATCTAACTAATTTTCATACAAAATAATGGTTTTCAACCACATATGGGCAATCTAACAATAATACAGGCAGTCTAGATTTAGGGCCCTATCATACACCTGGCGCGACACAAGTGTGTTTTGCCAGATTCAGCCCGACGCAGTTATCATTTTCACGTCCTGCGCCATGTTGTTTAAATAGCAAATACATTTGCACCCATCTGTGCACCCATGGGCTGCTGGTCTGAAAACAAGGTGTGTTCAGGCGCATTGTTGGCGCGTTGCTATTTTGAGGCAACTGAAATAGACTGTGATATTGACCAACTAAAACCTGGTCTAAAGTCAATGGCGCAATATTTATTTATTTTGGTTATTTAAAGAGTGCTTTAGTAATATGCGGGTCCACATTTTGTCCCATAGATCTGTTTCCTCGCTAGAGAAGCGTTCATTTATTCCGCTTGCAAATTCTGTCATGTAAATAGCAAATCCACCATGGCGCGAGCTCAACTGGCTTTTAAGGGGAATGGGAGATGAGACTCTGATTGGTTTATTGCACATTACGCCCAAAACACAGCCATTACTCATTAAGAGAATGGAGAAAACCGTTTTAGACCATGGGCCAGGCGCGACGGCGATTTTTCCTGTCGTTAAACTAGCAAAAGTGGATTCGGACACGACCTAAGTGCACTTGCGCCCTGCGATTTAGACATTGCGCTTAGGCCGTTAAAATAGGGCCCTGAATGTGCTATTATCTTGCGTTTTGCATTAGTTCATCTGGGCATGATTGAAACAGTTTGTTTATTTACATACTGATGATGTGTTGTGACCATTACATGAATAACACCATGGAATTATGCATTACGAATTTAGGCCCAATAAAAGGTCTAACTTGACGCACAATTATTTCAACATAGCCCTTGACATTCAGAATTCGAGTTTAAACTCTTGCCATAGTCATTTGAGTGTGTGCACTGTAGGCTATATGGAGGTTTCCGCACCGGGCACATCAGCCGCTTAAGCCATGTGAGATATTTCACCAATTCTTCTGCGTCTCTCGCAGCATTTAATAAAAAGATGTCCAAAAACACAAACATCTCCGAAGAAATGGGCTCTATCACCACAATAGGTGTAACAGATATAGAAATCATTGTTTAATATATGTAGTTTAGTAGAATTGACACAAAATTGTTAATTCATATACCTGATACCTGTCTGATTGAAATGTGAATGCTTTCCCCTTTAATTGTTGCAATTTCACAGATCAGCAAAACTTCCTGTTCTGTCTCCTCCTCTTCCCTTTTGCATTGTTACCTCGTGGGAGAGGTAGGTTTCTTTTGACTTTCTGATTTTCAAATATTAGTTTATTGTAAGTATTGCTTTTAAATCTATCAGCGACAATCAAGTTTGTATTTGACCGATTCGACTCTGGAATTGTATAACACCGAATTTCAAAATTATTAGACTCAGTCAGAGCAACGTTTCAGATGCGATGCCAAGTCCAAAGATTATTACAGTTACGAATGAATTATTCAGTCACATAAGCCTATAATTTTTATCTCATATTCCTAAATAAACTTCTGTTGGCCTAAATGTGTTTCCACCACAGTTTATTTACAATTACATTTATTCATTTAGCGGACGTTTTTATCCAAAGCAACTGAGAACAATAGAAGCAGTTAAACTAACAATAGGACAACAATGTGCAAGTGCTATGACCCTTCCCAGTTTAATCTAACGCAGTACCTGTATTTTTTTGTGTGCATTTCCTTTTGTAAAAAAAAAAAAAAAAAAAAAAAACCTCAAGCGAGTGTATTCATATGAGTTTGCAGCCTTTTATAGCTATTCCAACATACGCATGCGTTTCAGAGAACAACAATAGATAGGATATTTGCAACCCATTTAAAATACTACTATACTTACATTATTCCAGCATGCATAAGTTTCAGAAAGCTGCTTAACGGAAGTGCATCGAAGTTCATATTCTCAATGCGACTGCATTGGAAATGCGAATAGCAGTCAAATCAAATAGAGCATCGTCAAATAATGAGTTTGTAGCTGCATTTCTTTCACTTCTTAATTTTTATCAAAGGAAAATATATGTAACATGGATATAACAAGTAATTGGCAACATTATCGTTATTATACTTAATCTTTCTGAACATATGTACAGAGGTCACAACAAAAATATCTTTAAGTGATGTATGAGATGCACCCAGGTGAGGTGCCGGATCAGATTTTGGAGGTGCCGGATCAAGTAAAACAATTATGATTATTTAAAAAATGTTGTTAGTCTTAATATTTTCCTTCTGTTAACTTTTTTCTTAAACATTTTCTTTAACTGTTTGTTTAGCATTAAACCATACATGTTGTTGTAGCAACATGGATCCCTTAAAAAGCATCACCATCCTGAGTGTAGATAGTGAATGGTTCACTCTGAGGCTTGTGTCTCTGTGTAGTACCCCTGAAAGGGAGTTTGTTTATCAGTAACCACTCAAAATGCGATGCTTTACAATCACAGCTTTAGTAAGAATCAATTGTGACAATAAATCAACAATTTTTACACACAACAAATGCATCTGCTCTCTCATATAAACATTTTCTCAAATCAATCAATGCACTTCAAGCTTCACAGAGTGAATAAAGTATGTAGCCTACTTGAGGTATAGTCTGTATCTTACATTAAAGCATTTACACTCCCTGTTTTCACAAGTTTGCATCTAATTTAAAACACACATAACGTTATAAATCACACATTCACCTTGTAACCAAACAGAATAACTCACAAAATAACATTTATTTAATCATCTTACTCGTTTGCTCTACGGCTTGCGCGTGCTTTTTAGCCAATAGATTAATGCTTTATTCAACCTACACTCACCGGCCACTTTATTAGGTACACCTGTCCAACTGCTCGTTAACACTTAATTTCTAAGCAGCCAATCACATGGCGGCAACTCAGTGCATTTAGGCATGTAGACATGGTCAAGACAATCTCCTGCAGTTCAAACCGAGCATCAGTATGGGGAAGAAAGGTGATTTGAGTGACTTTGAACGTGGCATGATTGTTGGTGCCAGAAGGGCTGGTCTGAGTATTTCAGAAACTGCTAATCTACTGGGATTTTCACGCACAACCATCTCTAGGGTTTACAGAGAATGGTCCGAAAAAGAAAAAACATCCAGTGAGCGGCAGTTCTGTGGGCGGAAATGCCTTGTTGATGCCAGAGGTCAGAGGAGAATGGCCAGACTGGTTCGAGCTGATAGAAGGGCAACAGTGACTGAAATAACCACTCGTTACAACCGAGGTATGCAGCAAAGCATTTGTGAAGCCACAACACGCACAACCTTGAGGCGGATGGGCTACAACAGCAGAAGACTCCACCGGGTACCACTCATCTCCACTACAAATAGGAAAAAGAGGCTACAATTTGCAAGAGCTCACCAAAATTGAACAGTTGAAGACTGGAAAAATGTTGCCTGGTCTGATGAGTCTCGATTTCTGTTGAGACATTCAGATGTTAGAGTCAGAATTTGGCGTAAACAGAATGAGAACATGGAACCATCATACCTTGTTACCACTGTGCAGGCTGGTGGTGGTGGTGTAATGGTGTGGGGGATGTTTTCCTGGCACACTTTAGGCCCCTTAGTGCCAATTGGGCATCGTTTAAATGCCACGGCCTACCTGAGCATTGTTTCTGATCATGTCCATCCCTTTATGGCCACCATGTACCCATCCTCTGATGGCTACTTCCACCATGTCACAAAGCTCTAATCATTTCAAATTGGTTTCTTGAACATGACAATGAGTTCACTGTACTAAAATGGCCTCCACAGTCACCAGATCTCAACCCAATAGAGCATCTTTGGGATGTGGTGGAACGGGAGATTCGCATCATGGATGTGCAGCCGACAAATCTGCGGCAACTGTGTGATGCCATCATGTCAATATGGACCAAACTCCCTGAGGAATGCTTCCAGCACCTTGTTGAATCTATGCCACGAAGAATTGAGGCAGTTCTGAAGGCAAAAGGGGGTCCAACCCGTTACTAGCATGGGGTACCTAATAAAGTGGCCGGTGAGTGTATATATATATATATATATTAAAGTGTCATTAATGTGAAATACTAAATCAACTTTTCTATTTAAAATTTCATTTTGACAATTTAGTTGAATAATTGAATAACCGATGACAGACAAAGCAGAAAAAGAGAACAAAATAGATTGATTTGACTGTTTTTCGGACTGAGAGTTGTTTAATGGGACGGTCTATTCTAGCAACTGTGACACCGACCGCTGCTGTTGATGAGTGACAGTGCCATTTGTACTAGACTTTTTTTATTAAAAAAATATATAGAAGTTATATTAAACTGTCTGAAAACCAAACAGGGTTCACAAACTGTCTAAATATGTTCACCATGGTCCATTTCTGTGTAATGAGTATAAATGATATATCACATCTTAGTAATTCAACATTTGAACCGCTTTAAATGGTTTTGTTTTATTTTTACATATCATTAGATATTTGAGTAAGTTGAAACTATACTTAGGTTTAAAAGTTTAATTCAGCAATTTCTCTTAAAAAAAATCCACGTCTTCTCTGGCGCGCAATGAACCCATGGGACAGGCAAGCATCGAAGGATCCATCTGTTGTATCCTTCATTTCACTGGAAACAAAGGACGCATTTCGAGACCACGGGATTCAGCCTTTGAATTGGGACTCAGCAAATGTGTTGATTAGGGTTAAGTCAAATTTTATTACTACTTTAAAACACTAGGTAGAGCTCCAGTATACTATATTAAAAAAGTCATGTTTAACCAGGGGTGTCCAGTCCTGCTCCTGACGGGCCACTGTCCTGCAGAGTTCAGCTTCAACCCCATTTAAACACTCCTGAACCAGACAGTCAACTCTTACTAGATGAGGAAAGCTGGAGCTAAACTCTGCAGGACAGTGATCCTCAGGACTTGGACTATAAACTGCTATTTTGAATAAAGAAGTATGCATTGTGGATCCTGATGGTGTGGTTACCAACCAAACACTGATATGTTGATGGAAACCATCTGGACGGACAGGCTGTAAACCCGTGACCTTTGACCCGCAACATGCAACTCTGAAACATCATATTACACTGTTCTGTCTGGCGCTTTCATGCATGCAATATTTTTCGATCTGTTGCCCCAGAGAGACACTGTGGTATAAACGATATTTAGGAAGCTATTTTTTTTAACGTGACAACCAAAAAAACAGGAAATGACATCACAGATAGGACCCCTGTAGACTCACATGACTGTGTGTAAAGGTCAGTATCTTTAAAATGATGCAAGATCATATGGCAAGATTATGTATATGTTATGTACTCATGTGTATTCCATGAAAATGCAGTTTTGTTAAAATCTGGTGAATGTGAAATATGATATTGTGCACGTGAAATATATATAAAAAAAATGTATCTCTCTAAACTGCACATAAAAAAAACTTGACCTTTCATCTTTAGCACTGCTAGTTTAAGGTTATTTCTTGCAAAGGTTAGCAGAACCAGAAAACTATTTCTGAAATCACACCTAGACCCACGTCCTGTACATCTTCTTGTAGAAGAGCATATCCTGTTTTTGTCTTTCCATGTCTGGAACAAATTCAAATTTACAACATTTTAATAACGTTGATATATTTCTGCAGTTTTCATCGAATATTCTTGAATCACTTGTCAGTCATAGCCTACATGTTGCGCTTTTCCTCTCCCACACATTACACATCTTACTTTCTGTTCTTCACCAAATAATTCATTATAGACGTTATTTTCAACACCTTTCTCCTCATTTGCCTTTGACCCATTAAACACTATAGTATTTGTTATGTAAAATGAAATCAGTCTGTGAGGTTCATGCTAACAGGACAGGAAGGGGTTCACAGAAGCGCCTCTACAAGATGTGTGTCCATCTATCAGACCTAAACCACATTTCTTTCCAGATCTAAAGGAATCAGACCACGCCAGGTTTCGTTTTGACTCAAAACTGAACTTGTAGAGTGTAAAAAAAAAAAAAAAAAAGTTGATGCAATCATTATTCACAAGAAAACCACTGACATGTCTTTTGTTGGTCAGCCTGTACTCAAATGTGTAGTTTATACTTTTATATATATATATATATATATATATATATATATATATATATATATATATATATATATATATATATATATATATATATATATATATATATATATATATATATATATATATATATATATATATATATATTATATAAATAGGCCTATGTATATTTATATAATGTCATCTTTTAAATCTCTCTCTATACTAGACTATAGGCTATATTAAATAATTAAATAAATACATATGCAACAGCATAAATTAAATTAATATAAATGAAACCCTGTCCTGATCAGAACTAAACGACAACGCAAAAGCGTTCACTGTCAATCGAGCACGATCACACGCGCGTGCACGGCTACGCGCGCACACACACTCACTCACTCACGGCGGCGTGCAGAGAACCTCAGAGTTTCGACGTTCGTTATTTCGCTTCAAGTTTATTGTTTAAATGCAGATAGTGCAGAAACTCACAAGAGCCTCAGCAAAGTTTTAGGAAATTTTCGTTATTTTGCAGAAGTGATGTCTCAGTCAAAGAAAATGCTTTATACATTTGTTTGGTTCTGTTTGTATTATGAACGCCTGTTTGGTAAGTAAATTGTGTTTTGTATGGTACAAGTTCGATAGTTAAGTTATTAACTAGTCAGAATTCTATAATAAATCCTTGGAAAATCCTTTTGGGGAAAAAAGTCTAATAAATTTGAGAAAAAAATCCGGTAATGTTAGATGTAAAGTTGGCTGTTTTCGATCTGGTCCAAACTGGTCATTGGCTTGTTGACTACCTACCATTTTATTAAAAAACACCTTACAGTCATCTGTTGATGGTCCATAATGGTTTACCAGCTTACAATGATGAGTTTGGACCAAATAATCTACTATCTAAATAAACTAAATTGAGTGACAGTTCATGTTCCACTGTTTTCCAGGTGTGTTTGGTGTTGAGACGGGGGAAATAAAAAAGGCGATGGAGGGAGATTCTGTTACTCTGAACATTAGGGTGCAAAAAGGTGAGGAACTACTTTGGATGTTTGGTCTTGAAGAGACTCTAATTGCTCAAATCAATAAGAAGGATGGAGTCTTCAACACATATGAAGATGCTGATCGTGGGAGATTCAGAGGCAGACTGGAGCTGGACTATGAAACTGGATCTCTGACCATCACAAACATCAGAACTGATCATGCTGGACTTTATCAACTACAGATCATCAGTAAAACGGTCTCATACAAGACATTCACAGTTTCTGTATATGGTGAGTATAGAAGTGCAGTGTTAATTGTTCTTCATAAGACCATAATTCTGCACAATTCATTTTAAAATTAATTTAATTTGATCAGAAACATTAAAACACTTATTAAATGTTATTTTACTTATTCTAACTTAATTTTTCAGCTCGTCTGCCTATTCCTGGCATCACCAGAGACTATTCACAATGTTCTTCTTCATCATCATCATCAGGATCATCAGTGTCCAAATGTTCACTGGTGTGTTCAGTGTTGAATGTGGGTCATGTGACTCTCTCCTGGTACGCAGGAATCAGTGTATTGTCCAACATCAGTGTGTCTGATCTCAGCATCAGTCTCTCTCTACCTCTGGATGTGGACTATCAGGATAACAACACTTACAGCTGTGTGCTGAACAATCCCATCAGCAACCAGACCACACATCTGGACATCAGAGAACTCTGTCAGCCATGTCCAGGTACAACTGTGGTGATATTAGCTCATTTAGTATGCAACTCTGTTTACAATAAATGCTACTAAAAAGTAGTTTTAAAAATGTGTGAATCCAGTTGGCTAGGTGATATTAGTAACCAATGTACCTTGCAAACGGCACGTTGTGGCGATCAGTTTGAGTCTGTTGTTACGTTCCCCTAACCGTCAAGGGGTCGGGAGAGGAGGTAACAAAGGAAAGAAAAAAAAAAAGGCAGGAACACACTTTAATCCTCTGTCCCAGAGTGAAGACTACACCAGATGATTGATATAGAGATTATATATCCAAGAAAGGATTTTATTTACGAAAATAAAAGAGGACAGAACATATGTTACAAGGGAGCAATGGCTCAGGGGAGAGCACGGCCTAAAATAACAAACTAAACAGCCCACTAACTAATTTTGGGAGGAGTCCTTACTAACCTAAGAAAGGTTAAACAAAAAGAAGTAAACACAAACTTCCCTCAACTCCTTTGCTATACAAAAACAGGAACAAAAACAGTATTCAAGGAAAAAGGCACTCACCCTCAGCTTCCCTCACAACAGTAACTACTAAACAGGTTATCAAAGACACAATACCTTCTGCTTAATAGTTGAAGTGAGAACAAGATCTCTTAACACAGGTCACTGCTAACTCCCAACTACAGCCTCTGAATATCAGACAAATTTAACAACAGCGTCTGTGAACATCTAAATAGTTAATTTATCAAGACTACATACATTGTAAACTCAGTTCTTTGTAAGGTTTCTCTCATGTTTTCCAGCTCCTCTGCCAATTCCTGTCATCAGCAGAGACTCTCCACAATGTTCTTCTTCGTCATCGTCATCAAATTGTTCACTGGTGTGTTCAGTGTTCAATGTGAGTGATGTGACTCTCTCCTGGTACAAAGGAACGAGTGTATTGTCCAGCATCAGTGCGTCTGATCTCAGCATCAGTCTCTCTCTACCTCTGGAGGTGGAATATCAGGATAACAACACTTACAGCTGTGTGATCAACAATCCTGTCAGCAACCAGACCACACATCTGGACATCAACACACTCTGCCACACATGTGCAGGTACATAAGCTGTGATATTAGACCTGTATCAAGCATGTTGATCTTGAACTTTTTTTCAGTGTTTGTGTGTGTGTGTGTGTGTGTGTGTGTGTGTGTGTGTGTGTGTGTGTGTGTGTGTGTGTGTGTGTGTGTGTGTGTGTGTGTGTGTGTGTGTGTGTGTGTGTGTGTGTGTGTTTCCTCAGGCCGGGTCCACTGTTGTGGTTTTACTGAAACTATCATCCGATTGGCTGTCTCTGTTCTGGTGGGCGTTGCTACTGTTGCTGTGGTGGTTTATGATATCAGATCTAGAAGATATTATCAAAAGAGGAGAGAGCAAACACCACCTCAATCACATGAAGGTGAATATGATGATGTCACATCAGGTCACTAGGGGGCGATGATGTTGAGATGTATTTTATGTCTCAGGAATATTCCCGGCATCTCAAACTCTATGCATGCTGTCAATCATAGAAAATAAAATCCACAAAATGAAAAACTTGAAAACCAATGCTCTTATCAACGGACAGTGTGTTTCATAACTGATCATACTGCCATCTGGTGGTTGTTTTTGCTACAAACTGTTTTGCTATTAAAGAACAGCTGTATCTGTTATTTCAAACATTTTCTTTTACTTTTAATGTAAGTTTTAGGTAACAATTTATTTGAATGTGTCCCTATTACAGTGTAAATAAACATTTAAGAATAGAGTAATATTAAATAACTGCCTGTACTTCCTATAGGGTTAGGGTTTAGTTGCATGTAATAATGCCTAATTTATAGTTATTACTATACTAAATACATGTAACAAGTGTAACAAGGTCACATTAAAATAAAGTGTTACCAAATTTTATATTTTTATACCAAGAAAAAATTGTTTTTTTGTTTCATCAAGTTTTTTATTCCTACAATTATAAGTGCCATGTGAAATTCTTTATTACAGGACATTACATGAAACAATTGTCTTATTTGAATACCCCTTTGTTCATGTTTTTTTCTGTATTTTCAGTTTTATGTATGAATTATTGTAACATCCAGCAAATTAATTAAAATCTAAAAATGTCATGAGAATGTTTCATGAATATATTAACCTGTTGTCCATTAATGTCTTGCTCAGCATAGATTGCAATCTCGTGCTTTTAGTTATGCTTGATTAGTTTTGTGTGTTTAAATCACCTGCTTTTTATTTCTTTTTAGATATAGGCCAGCGTTATTACAATTATTCTACTTGCACCTTTTTTCACCCCAAAATAACTATAAGAGAATTATTTTAATTATCCACTTATACGATTATTGTTTAAAAGTTCAGATTCAATCATGCAACCAATTCATTTGGATCATACTTTTTTTATGCATATATGGTAGGAAATGCCGTAATCTATTACAAAACATCAAAATATTATAGAATAAATGAAAATGCTTTGCAGGATTTCAAAAATATATATTTTATTTTCCATTAGCACCACAACAGAAAACACATACAACATCGCTGACAAACAGCAAACTCAAAATAAAGTCTAGAGAGTTCATTTAGAGATGGTGAAGGAATCAAACGAAGCCGTCTATACATGGCCACGCATAATATTAACACAGACAAAATTAATTAACATTTTGTTTTGGATTTACAGATGTTCTGAGATTCCTCAGTAACATATTTTAAAGTCTTTAGACTCTGCATTTTCTTCCTAAACAAAAACAAAGTATCTGTGTACAATCTCAATTAACATCAATAAAATGATTGATATTTTTTTTTTTTTACAGGTGTAAATATTTTATGAACATGCATGACACATTCTAAATGAGGGATACCCTTACATGTTCTATTTGTATTAGAGAAGCACAAGCATATCTGTTGTTTAATGTCTCTCTTTCTCCATTTCAAAACTCATTTCCAATCTCCTCTCATCAGATGTCAGATGCTGCTGGAACACTGATGATCATGACTGTAGAAAAGATAGAAAAAAGTGGTCAAGATTTCCCTACATATAACACATTTGTTGAAAGAACAGTTTATTTAATAGTTTAAATGATTACATGTAATATACATTTAATTTGATAGCCACAGTAGATGTAGATGACTGATTTACTGACATGATCAAACCTTTGGTTGCAGAATTTAGAATGGGCAGCATTTTTATTAAGAATGGGAAAATCAGACAATAGTGAATTACAATAATATTTTTTTTGAAGGTATGAATACATAAAGTAACTTTTATATTCAGTATCAGAGAGAGAATCCATAGCATGCCAATATATCTGCCATATATGAAAGCCATAATAGGGACATTAGGCCCTATCAGACCAAACACTACTTAGTTAACACTATTTATTTTTATTGATCAGATGTAAATTAATCAATATCTATCTATAATGTGCTTAGTGCAATACACCAGCTGTGAAGGAGGAAATATGAAGCTGGATTTCACCTATGTAATAATATCCGGATAATATCAATTGAAGGGAACATGTAAATGGAGAATAGCAATGGACCTAAGACTGAGCCTTGAGGCACACCGCACTTTATCCAATGTTACGTAGGACATCTGTTCATTTGCAAAAAAAACGGACAGATGATATCTTAGGCAGGCTAGCACCTCTTCACAAAAGCCAATATGATTCTATTTGCTCAAAAGAAAGTCATGATATATAGGGTCAAATACAGTGCTAAGTAATGCTAAAATATACTGTCCAAGTCAAGTGCTAAAAAAAGTATTTTGACAAGTATAGGGCCATCTGGAATAGCTCTATCTAAACTCAATTTTATTCTTAATTGCATATGCATTTCATTTGAATCCTTACAATTAAACTCAATATTTCCTCGCAGTATTTTTCACAAAACTGAGAGTGATGTCCACTCATGTCCAGACAGCACAGGTGTAGGCTACATGTATTTTTATGGGGGGCAGTTCTTTGCGCATGTATGTTTTTTGTGCGGTAGGTGGCGTTGTGAGTCTGTGTCGTCCCGCGTCACGTTACCTGCCAGACGGAAGATTCAGCCATTTCGAGTTGTGCGCTCTCTTGTATTTGTCCTTTATGGAACGTAAACCATTTTCCACATCGTACATATCTTAAGGAATATCGTTTGTAAATCGCAGTCAATATAAAAGTGTCTCGTCATTCTTTAGCCGTTTTTTTTTTGTAATTGTCGTTAGAAATCTGGCTGGGTGCGGTTGAGAAAGGACAGCACGACGGATTTATATGGATATTTATTACGACCTTCACCGTTTTTAAGCTCCAGAAATTCTTCAATCAAAATGGGGAAAGCGTATTTTATGTTTCTTGTCTTATTATCCGTGGAGGGTAAGTAGCTAGTCATTTTATTTTTTGTAGCTATAACACTTTCGATTTTAATTAATAGAACCGGAAATAAATAATGCGTTTTTGCTTTTATAGTCGTATTTTCTTATTCCTTGTGGTTCTTAACGTGCTCATATAGCTTTCGCGTGTATTAGGATGCAAGACAGAGAGTGGAAAATGGTGTGTGTTCTTTATTTTGCGCTATTTACCATCATGAAGCCTCAGACACCATATTGGGTTTCAAGTTCAGGCCTTGCTATAATTATTATCAGCCTTTTGGAGATCGATGTCCAAATCACGTCGGGTCTTTGAGAATTACATTTTATGCGGTTGTGCTATTCAGGTAGGCTAAATTAAATGTGTGTTTCTCGAATCTCAAGCTTTTTGTGTAGGATAATATTTTTTTGAACATAGCTATATATAAATCAGACTTCCAGAGATGCCATCAATAGGCCTTACAATTCCATATCTGATGCCGTTTGTATTGTAAATATTGTAATATTTAAGCTTAAAGATGTGGTTGTTGATACCATTTTTTGGATAGCACTGTTTAGGCCTATGCCTTTTTTGCGTTATGTCTGTTGTTCTTCAGCCTACGTGTCCTTATTTTTCTCAAAGGTATCGTAATCATAATTTGTTAACAGCTTTTAAACGCAGCCTACATATGATGGTGAAATGCGTCAGGGTATTTCATGTAGGCCCATGTTACGCCAGTCATGACGTTCAGCTGCACGATCCAGTTTTTCACGTGTTTAGAAATGTCGTAGGCTACTGTTGTCAAGCCAGCTTTAAAACTGAATCAACCGCATTATATGAAAATAATATTAGGCCTATATCAATAAGCCTTGCGTTAAATCTAATTCATGATATAAAGGCAAATAGTGGAATTAGTAATTAACTGTTACTATAATTATTTATTAAAAAACAATAAACGTTCTGTGTTACTACAAAATATTAATTTTGTACATTGTAATTTGGTTTAAAAATAATATCTAAAGAAGGCCTAATACTTATAAGTTTTATCATTATCATCTATGCCATGCATTTTAGATTTTTAACAGAAAGCGTTTTTGTAAAAACCAACATGAAATGCCTTTACATTAATGTGCTCGCAATGAAGATCTAGCGGTATTGACATCATCATGACAACAGTGTGATAGAATTTTCGCGAGGATAGTCGCGTTGTTCTGGTAGACTTCAGTACTCAAGGGGGCGATAGAGGTACATTTCTGACATCAAACCGGATGTGTTGTTATTCAGGTGAGTTTCTATAAACATATCGACATAATATATAGAATATAATTTGATTAGACTGTTTTTAACCTCTTGCTCCGCCATGGGCATTAGTTAGCGTAAATAAGTAACAGTATTTCGTTACAGTGACTCTGACAGGGTGTTCTTGCGTTGCGTTATGAATTTGCGTAGCGTTTCTGAATGCTACAACGCGTTTCGCACTCGTGTCTTTTATGGTGGGGACATATTTAGATTCATTTTATTATTTGCTATGGCTTATTTTTGTCCCCACCACTTTATAAAAGACTTGTGTTGAAAATGGAAGTATAGCTTGCTCCAGGAATTGTTTCTAATGCAAAGGAATTGACAAACAGCAGTGCACCTCGTTAGTTTGCATTATAATAAGTGAGATTGTGATGTTCTGTTGTGGTTTTTCCTCAGATATAGGGTTGCAATGGGCTTTTTTCCGGCATGCAATCAACTTTCATTTTATTCATCCATGGGATGCAAACGTGTACTTCCAAAATCGACTGATGTACAGTTTATTAAAACTAGGCTAAGTTCATAGGTTTGATTCACAGAGAACACATAAGCTGATAAAATATATTCCTTGAATGCATTCTATGTCGATTTGGATAAACATGTCACCCAAATTCATTCATATAAATGTAGCCTAATCTATTCATGGTTTATCAAATAAATGTCACAAGATCATTTTTTTAACTTACCAATTAAAAATAAATAAATTTAAGATCCAAATATTTTTAAACAGAAACACTGCCATTAAGTATGCTACTGCAATTGTTGTGTATATTTAGTATGTTCTGGGTTTTAATGATCAGGAAAAACAAATGGACCAACTAACTCTACTATCAAGATACAATATATTCACACAGATTTTTATTTTTTTTTACAACAAAATGGTAAAAGATTATTTTGAAATCTTTGAGCAAATGTTTCACAAAGACTTTTTTTTTAAAGAAAGATTTAGAATGATGTAAGGGTGAATAAATGAAAGAATCTTCATTTTTGGGTGAACTCTCTGTTTAATAATTATTTAACCAGGAATATTACTTTAATTTCAGATAGGAGGAGTTAAGACACATTACATAATTTTACTGTAATAAAGGCTTAGTTCACCCAAAAATTTAAATTCGGTCATCATTTGCTCACCCTCTTGTTGTTCCAAACTTATATGAGTTTCTTTCACCTGTTGACCAAAAAAAAAAATATATATATTTTGATGAATATTGTTAACCAGACAGTTGATGGTAGCATTGAAATAGTAGGGAAACAAAAATACTATGGAAGTCAATGGCTCCAACCATCAACAATCAAATCCATCCGGCTTAAAAGAGCTAGAGTATTTAAAGCGACAGACGACAAAACAACAGCATGCACTTATAATAACAGAACGGTATCGTCCAGTGGTGTGGATGCTAATATAGTCATCGTTATAGTTATCATTCTTGATGTAAACTGGCCTTTACTCAGCACTGCAAAAGGCTATACACTTTATCTTATAGCTGGACATCAAAGAAGGCATATTTTGACCATCAATATGATCATTTTATTTTATTTTTGACAAGTTAATATGTCAATTGTCTTTTTAATTGTGGTCTATTTTCAACAACATCTGGTTAGTGAGTGCATTATGTAAAATTATGTTTAATTTCCAATTGGCCAGTCTTTTGTGGAACTATAAAAAAGTTGTTCCCAAGACTAACAGAAGTCATGACATGTAAAGGCTCGGCAGTTATGAAAGAGTTTCTCAAGAAAGAGCCCTTCCCCCAGTAAGAGCCTTTGGCGTTTACATAAAAAGTTGTAACTGATAACTGGGAGAAAAGAGGCCCTTCTGTCTTGAATGGAAGTCAGTGGAGGAGAGGCCTCAACATGCTGCTTTTGTGTGGAAACGGCTAACCACTTAAAGGGATAGGTCACCCAAAAATGTTTTAGTATTTTTACACTCTAAATAAGTTACAGTTGTACTTATTTATCTGGATTAAGCTTTTTTTCATCATGAAAAACCCTGACATGGCATTAAATTACAAGCATACATGCTTTGTCTGGATGCAGCATATGGTAGTCCAACTGTTTCAAAGGGGCAAGTGTGACATGCTAAACTCCATTTAAAGTCATTTAAACCGCATTTTTTCTACTTGAATTATTACTTATAATTCTATGATTGTTGTGCACGCAGTTCCACGGCCTCATATGAGTCGGGAGGCTACATGAAATAATTGAACTTTTCATTTAAATTCATTAAATGTAATACAAGAATAAGAAAAATGTTGTGCAAAATAGTTTTAGACTACAGCATGTCACAGCAGGACACTGGAAATTCTTATCAATTTTACGTGAGAGCAAAAGAAGAACGTGTGCAAGCTTGTAAATGCTTAGAAATGATTTACACAATGTAGGCTACAATCCCCTTGAAATGTCCTGCGAACTGTTCATAACCCCCTCATTCTGTTTTTTTTCCCCTTATTGTTTGCTCTTTGGTGTTTTTCATAATGTCACTTTCATTTACAGCCTTGTTTCTCTGTTAGCGCTACGTTTATTCCAGAATTCTGTTGGCCTTTGGTTTTTCTCAGTGTGATAAGTCGTGCCGCAGCTCATTGATGGCGTTGTCACGTGGTACATGTTACTTTTCTCAGCGGTGATTGGAATGAACTAATCACAGCAATGTGTGATTTACCTGAAACGGATTTTAAAAAGAAAATTTTTATGGAAATAGCAGGGGCGGGAATTTTATTTTATTTTGAAGTACCTGTTCGTGTTACTAATGTATTTGAATAACTATTTCATTGTACAAATGTATTTAACAAAGTCAAAACCCTCCAGAGATTTGTATGCTACTCAATGGAGAAATCGTTTGTGTGAACCGTAAAGCGCCCCCTCGTGGAAGAAACTGAGTTGTATGGGAAAACATTAACCGCCCAAAGGGCGTCAAGTCCACTCTGGGAGTAAGAATATCAACGTAAGGAGAAAAACAATGTCCCTGCCTGTCAAATTGTTTAACATATCAGTGTAAATTGTTATTTTGGTCAAGGTAATCCGGCGTATGTCACGAATTCACCCGCCCGTTGATTATTAACCAAAACTTTTATCAGTGAATTCGTATCATCCACCATTTTTGTGCTATGACAGATCTCTGTCTTAACGTATGGCATTATACAATGAATTTCCTCCGTGGTGTAAAACACAGACACAAAACGGCTTCGGAGTATATGAAAATATTTTCCTTACCCGTATTTTGGTGACTATCCGTCACAACGTAGGTTCTATATAATGCATTATCCACTGCGTTGGTTCTCAGTGGTTTCTAAACGCGTATAGGTTTCTATCAACATTTTATTTTTTCAAAAATAATCCATTACTGCTGTGATAAACCGTCTAAATTAATAAACAAAAACAACAAATAACGTAAATCCCTTACTAGATTTATCAGGAAAAAAATAGCATCGTCTCTATATACATTACAAAGCGCTACTGTATGATCCAGTTTCAATTTTAATATCGTAGCCACACAATCGCACGCCAGTTTCCGCATTCTGCTCGCCCTCTATCTCGCGAGATTTCATTTAAAACTCTGTGAGTGACAGTTTTTGTTTTATTCGCATCCAGCCTTACATGTTCTACTAAGATTTCCTCAAATGGTCTGTAGATGCTCAGTTTAAAATAGTCTGACTATAGTTTGTTTCCATTATAACATACATCATATGTAATGTATAATACATATGGTTTTCAGTGATATAGAATTTATATTTGTGCAACATACAGGCTATTTAAAATATAAATATGTATGTCTCAAACAAACATAGTAATTTAACAAATAGAGTTCAGACACTGTATGTAGTCTGCATTAAATTAAAATACTTTGTTTAACCACCATATTGTGTATTTATGCACAAGTTTGTCTATTTATATTTCTTTTTAGAAAGCCTGTCAGTGTATGTTTAGGGATATGTGCATGGCCTCGGACCAGTAAAGCCCGTTTTTAGTCCAGAATTGTAGAAACTACATGTAGACTGTTGAAATAATCTAAAACGTACGATCTCCGCTGAATCTGTTATATAGGTGTTTTATATGTTTCTGATTGTTCTCCAGGTGTGTTTGGTGCTGAGGCAGATCCACCGAAGACAATAGAATTGGCGGAGGGAGATTCTGTCAAACTAGAAACTTGTGTTACCAAAATACAGAGAGATGATGAGATGGAGTGGAAGTTTGGACCTCACGTCATAGCTACGATCAAGGCCAATAATGCCTTATTATATGACACTGATGATGCACTATTCAAAGACAAACTACATCTAGACGATCAGACTGGAGATCTAACCATCAGAAACACCAGAACCAAACTCTCCGGGCTTTATGAAGTGAAGATCGTCAATATCACCCATAAAATACACAAGATATTCAGTGTCACTGTCCTTGGTAAGAAATCAATGGTTGGTTGTGATTAAAGGGATAGTTCACCCAAAAATGCAAATTCTGGAATAATTTACTCACCCTCATGTTGTTCCAAACCTTTATGAGTTTCTTTCCTCTGCTGAACCATTGAGTCAATGGGGTCCATCCATCAATTGTTTGGTTACCGACATTCTTTAAAATATCTTATTTTGTGTTTAACAGAAGAGAGACATTCATGCAGTTTTAGAACAACTTGAGGGCGAGTAAAATTATGAAAATGTTCATGTTTGAGTGAACTATCCCTTTAAAGTATCCAAAAATAAGTTTAAGATATTTACTAAGGAAATGTTAGCAATGTTATCTAAATTGATAATTAAATTCTGAGAAGAGCAACAGAGTGTTATTTTAATACTGGATAATGTTCCTTCATATTGAGTAAATACCAATACAGAACGTTGCACAAATGTAACGAATCAGATAAAGAATATGAACAGTTTGAATTTAAATATGGAAATCATTGTCTATGTTTATGCTTATATTTATTATATAGCGACACAGTGGCGAACTGGAAATATGTATGTACAATTTACTGGAAGAATTATAATATCAATATATTTAACTAGTGAGATTTCATGTATTTAAAAACAAAATTATTATAGAATTATTGTCTGAACGCAATCATTAACATCTGTTATTTCTGTGCATTTTAAATATGTATTTCAGATGCGATCCCTAAGAAAGTGTCCGTAACGGAGGGCGATTCTGCCGTTTTAAAGCATGATATTGCTGATATCGAGATTTATGATGTGATCATGTGGATGTTTGAAGATGGAGAGACATCCATAGCTCAAATCAACAAAAAGACCAGTAAAACCCCCTCGTATGATGAAACTGATGACAGATTCAAAGACAGACTGAATCTGGATCAAACCGGATCTCTGACCATCACAAACGCCAAATCCACAGACGCTGGACTCTATAAACTTGAGGTGACCGGTCAAAACAAAGCGGCTAAATACAGGAAGTTCCGCGTCACTGTCAGTGGTGAGTAGATCCAGTGTCGCAGTGTAATAATTGTTTGTGCTTGTCATGTTTATAACCGACCGAAGGTTCATATAAAAGTGAGATGCTTGTCGCATGATTTATTATTGAACTGACCGTCTCCCTTTGTCCATTACAGAACCGGGTCTGTCCACAGGTGTTATAGTGGCCATATGTGTGGGTGTTGCTGCTTTATTCCTGTTGGTGGTCGGGATTTGGTGTCGCAAACGAAGTCAACAAGGTTCAACTTCCTATTAACTTCATCTGATACTACGAGGGAAATCTAAACTTAATTGTACAAGAGTAAGATTTTGTACTATATATACATTGACATTTGTGATTGTTGAAACAATATTTACAGAATGTCACTAAGTGGATTCATTGATTTTGAAAATCCTTGAATTTTTTTAGTTGTAAGGTGTGATGCACACTTTGTTGTTTCTGTGTCTTGTTTCAGATGAAGATAAAGGGAATGGGGTACAGGATCCATTGAAAGGACAGCAGTAGTTCAGAGCCTCTGTGACAATATACACAAGTAGCGAACTTCTGCCAACGATTACTTAGGCATAAACCGAGGAACATGCTTGTGTGTTGTACATTTGCTGGAACGGTTTGCACTACATGTTAATCAATGATCCTGTTATTTTAGGGTACAAATGCATATCAGTACCTGTTTTCAGTACATATATAATCATGTTGGCTGGTGGGACTGTTCACTGCTGCTTTAAAGGTTTTTGGTGGATGTTTAGGTCAAATGGCATCAACCGCAGGTTTACTTTGTATTAAAAAGATTGTTTTCCTTAGTGATTTAATTCATGCTTTACAGGGCTGAAGAGGGAATTATGTGATGGATGCTTTTTTCATGTGCAGAATGAGCCTGTTTTTTGGTAATAATATGCACATGCTTATTTTCTTAGTCTTTTTTTAAACTTTGTGCCTCATTTTTGCTCCAGAAGTATATTTTACTGTCACTCTATTCTGTTTACATTAGGATAGTTTATGATCAACTGCTGTTTACTTGCCTTTAGTGAACACTGATATGGACGTTGAATGTTTCCAGTTATGTAGGCCCACATAATATTGTTTTCTTTTAATGTGAAATTTGAAGTTATATTGAAATCATTGAGGATTCGTAAGTAATATGAATGTCAAGTTATTGCACTTATTGTAAAGCCATTGAATCACTTGAATTGATTTGAGTTGGTAGCCAAAAAAAAAAATTATGTTATACAAATCTCTGCTGTAGGCTGTAATTGAAAATTATGATGTCTTGATGCCTTTTTGTTGTATATTGGGAAATATTTGGAATAATAAAAAGGGAAAATATATATAGCACAACTACAACTATTAATTTATTCACAAAAAAAAAAAACATTTACAGCATCTATTTACGTATATGATAGGCTACATATAGCCTAAATGTATGGAGCAGTTTTGTTGTAATCTTGTGTCGGGTAATGTTTATTAATGTATGATGTTGATCTTTTAAATGAATGGTTTCATATATTTGAGATTATATTTGTTGAATCAGTTACAATGTATCTAGTTCCGTCTTTTGCTTTGTTCTGTCTAGGTCAAGATTGTTCTGTTCTAGTTCTAAAAGTTTAAACATTCTCAGAATGTAAATTTGAAAACATAACTGTCATTTTTAGAACAAACACTGGAAACATCTGCTGTACAAGAGGAAGTGGTACCTAGATGTTCAATGGTCCAGTTCCCGCTATTGTGTACCTTTGAAAGACTGGTAAGATAAATCTCAAACCACCTTAACTATATTTTTTAATCTTTCTAGGTGGCGCTGTCCAGCCAATCGATATCCCAATAACATGCTGCTGTTTCCAGCAGGTCTTTTTCAGCGCCTTATTTTCCCTCAAACACAAACGCACTGATTTCTCTTTCTGATCTCTTTATGAAAATCATCCCTTAATCGTTCTCTATTTCGTTCCTCGGAGGGTTTTTTTTCTATCTGTAATGTAATCATCTCTGTTCGTCAGTGGGAGCGGCTCGGAGATACACGCATTCAACGATCAGAAACGGCGCATATTTATGTGAAAACAGCCTTATAGAAGTCATATTTTACCGTCTTGTTTAGAAACATGAAAATATTATTTTTCCCCATTCTCTTAATTTTCGCTGACGGTAAGTTGTTGAACTCTGTTTATTTTTCAGCAGTTTCGTTTTCACCCTTTAGAAGCCGGAAGTGGAACGAACGCACGATTTTATGTGTCAATGTGTTTGAATAACATGTAATAATGCCTTTGTTTTGGTGGCGGGATTCCATAAATGAATAGACATAAACCATAGTTTCCGATGCACCATGTGTGCTTTGCGTAGTCATCGTGCGTACGCGTTTGTCTATGTGTAAACGTCGTGACGCCATTGTTGTAGTTTTCTTGGATTATCCGTGTTGGCCTTTTTGAATTTGCAGATTGTGGTAAATGCATACACGTTTTTTTTTTACCTACTTAGATAACGCTATTTTTACAGTGTCATTGTTAAATGTAGTTACTGTATTAGCTAATAACTATAAGTTATCCATAATTAAATGCAACTAAACCAAACCCTAATCCTAACCCTATAGTAAACATGTAGGTAGGCTATATTATTCAGTACTTAAATGTATAATTACAGTGTAACAAATACACCTTAAAATAAAGTGTAACCAAATCTTCAAATAAGCATTTTGTGTATCTCCGTTACCTTTATTAACAAAGGCTTTTTTGGTCAAATTTTGATATTTTGTTCAGTTAGTTTTACATATTTTCATCCTTTTAGTTTATTAGAAAAAAATAATTGAGCTTGTGTGCTTACAGTGAGTTTAATGTGTGAGTAACTGTGTATTCTTTAGGTGTGTTTGGTTTTGAGACGGATGGAGTGAAGTCGGTATCGGTGAAGGAGGGAGATTCTGTCACTCTACACACTTGTCTTAATCAAATACAAAAATCCAATAAGATACTGTGGATGTTTGAAAACGCTGTCATAGCTAACATCAAAGACCAAAAATTGTCAACAGAAGATGGTCCTGATGGGAGATTCAGGGACAGACTGGAGCTGGACTTTGAATCTGGATCTCTGACCATCAGGAACATCAGAACCAACCACTCGGGACTTTATCAAGTGGACATGTTCGGCACGAGTAAATCCTTGAAGAAATTCAATGTGACTGTAACTGGTGAGTAGCGCAATAATGATTATATTTACCAGCAGTTTGCAATTCAGCAATCAGCAATTTTTCTGTTAATATGCAGTTTATTATAGTTTTTGAAATGAGTAAGAGTTTAAGTAGGTCGTTGCATTAAAAGTATTAAGATGTTAAGATGATTATAAAGTTCACTTACAGTTACAGTCAACTAACATACATGACTAGAAACTCTCAGTGAGTGCAAAAACAACAACAGCATAAATAATGACAGAAAACAGTGATGATATAAACAGATTGATCTCACCCGCTTGGTCGTTCCATTGTAACTTTATAATGGTGAAGATTTAATCCGTATGCGATGGAAGGTCCCGTCACGAATCACGATCAGCCTGACTCCTACTGTTGTCCTGTTGTGAAATGTCTCCCTTTAGGGTCGTCTATTTCCTTCCCCCTGTCTGGCCTTTACACTCTCTCTCTCTCTCTCTCTCTCTCTCTCTCTCTCTCTCTCTCTCTCTCTCTCTCTCTCTCTCTCTCTCTCTCTCTCTCTCTCTCTCTCTCTCTCTCTCTCTCTCTCTCTCTCTCTCTCTCTCTCTCTCTCTCTCTTCAATTCAATTCAATTCAAAATTGCTTTATTGGCATGATTGTACACAATACAATATTGCCAAAGCTTGGAATACATAAAGACATCAAAATAATAAAATATTATAATATGACTTAAATCTAAATGTACAAATTAAATTAATTGTACAAATTAACAGTGTACCAAATAAAAATAAATACATAAATAATAATAATAATAATTAGAACAGTTAATGAACATTTCAAAAATTCTCTGAACAATTTAGAATTCAGTGTGTAAGTGTTTGAGTGTGTGTGTGTGTGGGCGCATCACTGATTAGTCGTCGACTCTCTCTTTTTGTGACAAGCATCAATGTATCTTGCTGCTAATATGATACAATCTGTTTTTTTACCTAATAGATGTTGAAATTGTGTTTTGTTGTCTAATTGTATGAAGTTAGGGCAAAGTATTTCAAATTTTGTATAAAAAGTCCCTCTAATGTCCTCATAGTTGGGGCAGCGGGTGAGGAAGTGTTGCTCGGTCTCCACTTCTCTCTGGTCACAGTACGGGTAGACGCGTCTCTCTCTGGGCCGCCAGTTCTGTCTGTGTCGGCCCGTCTCTACAGTCAGAGTGTGATTGCTCAGTCTGTACCTCGTCATCCTTCTTCTTAGTGTACAGTCTTTCACTGTACTCAGGTATTCTGCGGTTGTGTATTCTCTATTTAGGGCCAAATAACATTCTAGTTTGCTTTGTTTTTCTGTTGATTGAGTCCAATAGGTCAGGTAATTCTCCTGTTGTGCTTTGATCATGTGGTTGGGCCGGATTGTGTGGCTGAGGGTGTGTGTGTCCTGAGACGGATCACTGTTAGTGGTGTTTGTGTGTGTGTGGAGCCTCAGGACAAGCTGAAGGAGGGCGCTCTTCTCAGTGTTCATTTCATGGTTTTTAAGGGCTTTAAAATGATAAGAGTTGGGGTCACTCATTTTTAGATGTTTCCAAAATGTGATGGCTCGTTTCTGAACGTGTATTAGTAGAGGGTATTGGCCTAATTCTGCCCTGCATGCGTTGTTCGGTGTGTTCCTCTGTACTCCCAGGATACTCTTACAGAACTCGGCATGCAGGGTTTCAATCGGATTTTTGTCCCATTTGTCGAATTCGTGATTTAGGAGAGGACCCCACACTTCACTGCCATATAATGCAATTGGTTCTATGACTGATTGGAATATTTTGAGCCAGATTCTGATTGGTATTTCAATTTGGATGGATTTTTTGATGGCATAGAAGGCCCTTCTTGCTTTCTCTTTCAGTTCATTCACGGCCAAATTTAGGTTTCCAGTTGCACTTATTTTCAGCCCGAGATATGTGTAGCTTGTGACATGAACAATTTTGGTCATACCAAGGGTGAAATTGTGTCTCTTTCCCTGACATCTGGGTCTTTTCTGAAACGTTAGTACTTTAGTTTTCGTTGGGTTGATGGTCAGGGCCCAGGTCTGACAGAACTGATGCAGGGTGTCCAGGTTCTGCTGTAGACCCTCTTCTGTTGGAGACAGCAGGACCAGATCATCTGCGTACAGCAGGAGCTTTATACTGGAGTCGTGTAGTGTGAGGCCAGGAGCTGCCGACTCTTCTACGAGTTTCGCCAATTCATTAATGTAAATATTGAAGAGGGTCGGTGATAGTGGGCAGCCCTGTCTCACACCCCGCCCTTGAGTGAAGAACTCAGTTTGTTTATTGCCAATTTTAATTGCACATTGATTGTTTGAGTACATTGTTTTTATAATTGTGTACGTTTTGCCCCCGATACCTGATTCTAGAAGTTTAGAAAGAAGGCCTTCATGCCAAATTGAATCAAAGGCCTTCTGGAAATCTACAAAGCAAGCAAATATTTTGGTTTTGTTTTGGTTGATGTATTTATCGATCAGGGTATGTAGGATGAAGATATGATCTGATGTTCTAAAATTTGGTAAGAATCCGATCTGGCTTTTGCTCAGGACACTGTGCTCTGTGAGGAAGTGAACGAGTCTTGTGTTGATGATGCTGCAGAACATCTTCCCCAGATTACTGCTCACACAGATGCCTCTGTAATTGTTGGGGTCTGATTTGTCTCCACTCTTGAATATGGGTGTTATAAGTCCTCTATTCCAGCTGTCAGGGAAATGACCAACACTCAGAACCAAGTTGAACAGTTTCATTAAGGCTAATTTGAATTTGGGGTTTATATTTTTAAGCATTTCGTTAAGGATGCCGTCTGGTCCTCTTGCCTTTTTTGTTGGCAGAGCCTGAATTTTATCCATCAGCTCTTTTTCTGTGATTGAGTAATCTAGCGGGTTTTTGTATTTGCCAATTATGTTTTCTAAAAGGTTTAATTTTTCATATATTTGTGTTTGTTTTATATTCATGTCTAATTTGCTATAAAGTTGTTCAAAGTGATTTTTCCAGGTGTCTCCGTCTTGTATAGTAATTTGTTCATGTTTCTTTTTATTCAGGAGATTCCAGTTGTCCCAGAAACTGTTTGAATGGAAAGATTCTTCAATAGTTTTGAGCTGATTTTGGATGTACTCTTCTTGATGGTTACTCTTTGAGTGTATTTTTATATTTTTTAAGCTCCTCACAATAATGAAGACGCAAATCTGGATCGTCTGGTTGTCTGTGTTTTTGATTTGCAAGATGTCTTAAATTTTTCTTTATTCTTTTACAATCCGAATCAAACCATTTTTCATTCTTTTGTTTTTGCTTATGATTTTTCTTAGTGGTTTTAAGATTAGATATTGTTGCCATATAATCAAATATGTAATTTATGTTTTCTACAGCCAGATTTACGCCATCTTCATTTTGAGGATAATCGTATTCTATGAAGTTATCCATAAGTAAGCACACTTGGGGGTGGTCCAATGCGGCCAGGTATTTTTCCGTGCTGCTTTGAACCCATCTGTAAATATTTTTGATGTTGTACAGCTTACTGGGATGTATTGGGTGTATGTTAGTATTTTCTTTCCTTTTCAGATACACAGTAATTTGGCTGTGATCTGATAGGGGTGTTAGTGGTTTGACCGTGAATGCTCTGAAAGAGAATATATCTAAATCTGTGATCATGTAGTCAACTGTTGAGCAACCATGAGATGAGCTGTATGTGTATGTCCCCAGAGAGTCCCCTCTCACCCTGCCGTTGACTAGGAACAGACCGAGGCTTCGACAGAGCTCAAGTAGAAGCCTCCCGTTTTTATTCACTTGAGCATCAGAGTTAGTCCTTGAAAAATTGACACTGTTTTGTTGAAAGCTCTGTCCAAATATATAATTATTCCCGTTGTCTGTGGTGTAGTTGGGTAGGGATCCTGTCCTGGGATTGAGATCCCCACACATCAGCACACTTCCCTGGGCCTGGAAGTGGTTGATTTGACTGTGGAGGGTCTCAAAGATGTTCTCATTATAGTAAGGAAGAAGAAATTTATAGTATTATAGTAATCCCAGAAGAAATCACCTGCCTCGTTAAATCCTATTTTCAAGACCTGCAGCTATGCCTAACTACTAATGAGTATACCACAGCATGGCAACGTTTAGAAATCGGAATAATGGCAGGATGCACCATCTCACCTTTAGCATTCACGATGGCTATGGAGGTCATCATTCGCGCATCTTGGTGGGTAGTAGGAGGTCAGAAGCTCAAATCTGGTCTTCGTCTCCCTCCCATCAGAGCCTATATGCAGGGTTCCAGACTGCGACCAAATTGGTCGCATATGCGACCATTTTTTGAGAATGTGCGAGTTAAAATGTTATGTCGCATTTGTGCGAGTGGACGCTTGAGCAACAGAACGCCGTTGTATCAGCTGCTGCAGTCCGTAACTTATGTTCAAAATGAACGAGTAGGCTACATCATGAATGCATTTTCCAAACCGTGTTTTTGACTTCTTCTGAATCACTACGGTACGCCTATAAAAAGTGTTTATATTCTGACTATTTTATCCCGGGGTCGTCTCGGCTGCAGAGTAGCCCAGTGCCTGCGTGACTCGCCATAGACATTAACGGAGAGAAGTTCCGTCTACAATGTTCTTCCGCAAGACACGTGCAGTTTATTTATTGACGAACGTAGACGTCACGCGCATTGCACACTGATGGTGAAACGCGCCAATTACGAATTCACGAATTAAGGCATATAAAAATGATAAAAATGTCTCACGAAACACAGAGCCCCCTCCTCCTACGTCTTTTCAGCGGTTATATTTTCCTCTGTCGAGCGATTACTCTCATGATCGCTCGACAGAGGAAAAGGAAATTATTATAAAATGCAGAAGGTAAGGAGTGTGAGATTTCTGCTTTTTGTTACAACTATAAACTTTGATAACGAAAAATCTGTATCAGTTTATTATAATAGGCTACTCTAATCTTTTAAAATGTAATCCATACATTTGAATGTTTAATGATTTTTAAAAGATAGAAAGATGATAATAGACAGATAGATAGATAGATAGATAGATAGATAGATAGATAGATAGATAGATAGAATATGATTCAAATGTAAATAGATAGATTGTATATAATTCAAATGTAAAATGCTTAAAATTACAGATTAAAATTACTGTCCAAAATCCATGAAAATCCTGAAATTTGGCAATGATAATTAATATTACATGTATTTCTGCTGCAACCCAGAAAGCCTTTGCTAGCCTTGGTCCATTAAAACCACAATTCATCAGCATGCATTGATTAATCCCATGGCATGTAGCAAAAAAAAAAAGAAAAAAGGTGCGACCAAATCATATGCTGGTGCGACCAACTGAGAAAGTTGGTAGCACCAGTGCAACCAGTGGAAAAGTTAGTCTGGAGCCCTGCCTATATGGACGATATGACCATCCTCACCACAACCAAGGTTTGTGCTAGGCGCCTGCTGAACAAGCTACAGGAGAACATACAGTGGGCTCGGATGGAAATAAAGCCAGGCAAGTCCAGGAGCATTTCAGTCGTCAAGGGAAAGCTGTCGGAACAGCGGTTCTATGTGGGCAAGGACCCTATACCAACAGTGGCAGAGAAGCCAGTCAAGAGTCTTGGACGTTGGTACCACGCCACCCTTAAGGACACAGAGCAGGTAGACCAGCTTAGGCAAGATACAATGCACGGCCTTGAGAGTATCGACAAGACCATGCTCCCTGGCAGGCTAAAGCTGTGGTGCCTTCAATTTGGGCTACTACCTAGGATGATGTGGCCTCTTACCATCTATGAGGTCTCAATCTCAAAGGTAGAAAAGCTGGAGAGAGTGATCAGCTCATTTGCCAAAAAGTGGCTGGGACTGCCCAGATGCTTGACTAACATAGGACTGTATGGAAGAGGCATCTTGGAGATTCCTGTTTCCAGCATGGTTGAGGAGTTCAAGTGCTCTAAAGTAAGGCTGGAAATGACACTAACAGAGTCCCGTGATCCATGCGTTTCCCAAACAGCTCCTACCCTGGTGACCGGAAGGAAATGGAGCCCAGCTGAAGCCACTCACCAGGCGAATTCAGACCTAAGGCACAGAGACATCATTGGCAATGTGCAACAGGGGAGAGGCGGCCTCGGATCTGGAGAGAGCAGACCATCGTGGCATAGAGCAGCTCCAGCTCAGCGGCGACGGCTGGTTGTCGAGGAGGTGCGACGGCACGAGCAGGCAACGAGGTGTGCAAAGGCTGTTTCACAAGCCAAGCAAGGGCAGTGGATGAGATGGGAGGGAGTTGAGAGGAGAAAGTTCTCTTGGAGGGAGCTGATGAGCATGGAAGCATTTTACATCAGCTTCATCTTACGTGCAACGTACGATGTCCTGCCTTCCCCCTCAAACCTCAACCAGTGGTACGGAGAAGACCCAACGTGCCCCCTCTGTCCATCCCCCGCAAACCTCATACACATTCTGGTTGGATGCCAGACAAGCTTGTCACAAGGCCGCTATACCTGGCGGCACAACCATGTCCTGAAGTGCCTAGCAGCCACCTTGGAGTGCAGACGACTAAAGAACAATGCCCTGCCTCCTCCATCATTCCATCCTTCATATGCAAGGGAGTTCATTCGAGAAGGGGTAAAGACAGCCAAAGGCTATACAACCATGGTTAGCGGCCAGCTCGGAAAGGCTCGAGACTGGAAATTGGTGGCAGATTTGAACCAAAGGCTTTACTTCCCATCTGAGATTGCCACAACGAACCTAAGACCAGACCTTGTGCTCTGGTCCCCATCACTCCACATCGTGTACATAATAGAGCTTACCGTTCCCTGGGAGGATGCTGTAGAGGAGGCATTTGAGCGCAAGAGACTTAAGTACACCGAATTGGCAGCTGATGCTGAGCAACGCGGATGGAAATCCAAGGTTTTCCCAGTGGAAGTCGGCTGCAGAGGCTTTGTGGGCAAGTCAACCATCAGGCTGCTTAAGGAACTGGGAGTGCGAGGCCAAACCCTACGCCAAACCATCAAAGCCCTCTCAGGTGCAGCAGAAGAAGCAAGCCGATGGATATGGGTAAAAAGGGGAGACTCCAACTGGGCCCCTAATACCACCTGCGGCATGTAAGGGTGCATGTAAGCAGAGGGGGGCACACCTGGGACGCCAGGTGCTGCCGATGAGCCCTCTGGAGGTGTCGTGGGCCTATCATTGAAACACCAGAGAAGGGGGGTGCCCACCTGATGACCCCAATGAAGCTTAAACACCCATTCTTATCCCACTAAACCATTACCACAGTGAGGAAATCATTCTGATGGATGCGTTGTTACCACTAAAACCTGTCACCACTACAGAGAGGAAACCACTCCGATGGATGCATCGTCACCACTCATATCTCAGAGAGGAAACCATTCCGATGGATGCATCGTCACCACTCATACCTCAGGTCTTAAACAGGGGATTGTTTCACCTAGTCCTAAATCATAATAATTAAGGAGATTCAGAGGGAGGAATATAAAGAGCACATAAGAATATATCTTTTGTAGTTTGACTGAGCTGTTTATTGATTTTGAGCCAGATATGAGATTATTCTTTTTATTTGATTAGTTTGATGTACTTATCAATTTCAAGTTTGTGCCAGATTATGATGCCCCCTGAATCTCTCCCACGTGTAATTTTTTCATGTTTTTGGGACGATATGAGTATTTCCCGATACTCTGGGGGACAGAGAGTGACCTCATCAGTTCTGCGCCACGTTTCCTGTAATATTATTATGTCTATATCTAATACACTTTTCTTAAAATCCAAGGTTTTGATTTTACATCCAAAACTTGATGAGTTAATGCCCTGGATGTTCCAATGTGTGATTGTCAGTGGTTTCATGCGGTCAATAAACAATTTTAACATTTCTCTAGAATAGAACCAACTCAACTTGAACCCGTTTAAAATATATGTGCACTGTGTAAACATACATACATTTACCTATTTGTATTATTGGTAGTAGTTAAACAAGGGTTTTTTTTTTTTTTTTTTTTTTTTTTTTGCACATACCTATAAATGTGTATATATACACACATGCATAGTGTATAGACATAGACATGCATAGACATAGATACACATATATATACACATATGCTCTCTCTCTCTCTCTCTCTCTCTCTCTCTCTCTCTCTCTCTCTCTCTCTCATCATGTGTACCTACCAGCTCTTCTCTCTCTCTCTCTCTCTCTCTCTCTCTCTCTCTCTCTCTCTCTCTCTCTCTCTCTCTCTCTCTCTCTCTTTCTTATCATGTGTACCTACCAGCTCTGTCCCATATTAGGAAGCCCACAGTTATGTGAGCAGGGGAAAGTTGTCACATGTGTTTACATTTATTAATTACAATACCTTTTAACCAAAACATTTGTCAACATTGGTATCCTATAATGCATTTTAAATACAGATATGTCTATGTTTTTAAACCCTGCTATAGGGCCAGGTTGTTTTAAATCAGGGGTGTCCAAACTCGGTCCTGGAGGGCCACTGTCCTGCGGAGTTTAGTTCCAACTTGCCTCAACACACCTGTTTGCAAGTTTTTAGCATGCCTAATGACCTTCAACAGCTAATCAAGACCTTGATTAGCTGTTTCAGGTGCGTTTAATTGGGGTTGGAGTTAACTCTGCAGGACAGTGGCCCTCCAGGACCGAGTTTGGACACCCCTGATTTAAATGGACTGTATACCAACATGCCTCGGTCTCACCTATGTACATTATTATGATGCATTGCAGTGCAAATAATCAACTGTGAAACTTTTCCAGGTGTGTTTGCTCCAGACGCAGATGAAATAAAGGCAGTGTCGGCGATGGAGGGATATCCTGTCACTCTGAACACTGTTTTGAAACTACAGAAAGATGATCTGATGCTGTGGAGGTTTGCAAGGGCCACAAAAGGCAATCCAGTTCATCATAACCCGTGTCAAAGCGATGCGACTGCCATCGCGAAAATTGACGGAGAAACTCGGGAGATCTCATTAGATCCTGGTGACGGTGAGATATTTAATAATGTAGTGAAGGTGGACAAACTGAGCGGATCTCTGACCATCACAAACGTCAGACCTGAACACTCAGGGACTTATATACTACAGATCAGCGATAACACTGGGACCAAATGCAGGAGATTCAGCATTACTGTCAATGGTGGGATTGTATTCGTTTTACTATTCTATTTAGTATGTTGTATTTGAATAAGATGCAGGTAAATGAGCCCCTTATTGCATTTTTACTAGTATTAGAAGCAGTTGCCCAACACTGAGCTAATTTCAGTTCATTTCTTTTAGATGTTAAAAAATCCCACTCTCATGTAGTTTGGATGTCAATCGCTCTAGTACTTTTGTTGACGACGACGGTTGGGTGTTTGGCTGCGGGCATTAAAAACTGGAATGGTAAGTAACAGAAATGCAAATCTTAACTGATTTATGAATGTTTTGATAGATGTGATGATTGTTTAAGGCCCTCATTAAGGCCCTGTTTACACCTGTATTAAGAAGCATTTTCGTGAGTCAGAGCACAAGTGGACGAGGCTAAATACAGGTGTAAACGGGGTCTAAAACGTTTTGAGCTTGTCAACTTTCGACCAAGGTAGTCCGAAAACACATTTGACTGGATTGCTTTCGTAGTGTGATCTCTCATGTGATTGGATGTGTTCAAACAGCCACAAAAGACTGTCTACTCCCCTCTTACTGACCTAATGCATAAACATTATGGGAAGCGCTCTAGCCGCATTTAAACTTTGTCGGCTGAAGACTTAAGTTTGGTTTGAAGACAAAAGACATACCAAGCACAATGTTCTCTCACGATCCCTGATTTCTAACACACTCACAGCGCTTGGCGTGATCTTGCGGGTTTTAGAGCAGAAACGAAAGCTGTTGCTCCGTATGTTATTCTGTCATCTCTGGGCACCTTCATATGTAAATTGCACAAGCCTAAGCTAATTTTGTCCATTAGAAAGATCTGAAAAAAAACATACATTTACCCGCCCATAGACTCTCCTCCCCTCAAAAAAATCAGGACAGAAGTGGATGAAAGTGGACAAAAGAGGATTAAAACACCAGGAATTTGTCTCCCTCGTCTACTTGTGATCTCATCTTAATACCAGGTGTAAACAGGTCCCTAGATGCACAAGATGCTCTGTTGTATTGTTAAGTGTTTTACCTTCCTTCTCAGTTTTGTTCAGGAGAGTGAGGTTATATAAATGCTGCCAATCAAAGAGGCCACAGGAAATGGGTGAGTGTTTCCTTCAAATTTTACTGTGCTTCCTGTGCTTAGTTAGTTCACCCAAAAATGAAAATTATTTCATCATGTTTCATCATTCTTTCATCTCCCTCATGTCTTTCCAACCCCTAAGACTTTCGTTCATTATTTGAATTACAAATGAAGATCTTTTTGATGAAATCTGAGAGCTTTCTATCCCTGCATTGACTGTCTATGCAACGGACACTTTGATGCTACAAAAAGTTCATAAAGAGATCGTAAAACTAACCCTTATGAATTGAGCGGTTTAGTCCTACATTTTCTGAAGAGACACGATCACTTTATATCAGGGGTCTCCAAGCTCGGTCCTGGAAGGCCACTGTCCTGCAAAGGCCGTTTCTCAATGTGCGTTCTTGTCTGTACTTGTGTTCTAGTGGACTTATGAAACTTCATCAGTCGCTGCCCGGGTACTGATCCAATTTAAAGTTCACATTTAGCCAAGTCCAGTTCAAATCCCTAGATGTGTTCTTGATCAGGCCTTTTTATTGAGGATACATCAAGAGGTGACTTGTGCGAACTTGAGACAGCCAGGTATCCCAGAATGCATCTCACTCCAACCAGCAAGCGTAAATAGCGTAAGAATATCTTGTGAAGTTAGCATCACCATTCAAGTCTCACCTAAGCATCAACCTAATCTACATCTCTTTCCCCTGACCCCCCCCCCCCCCCCCCACCCCCCCCTTTCCCCTGATCCCCCGTTCCTTCTGAAATTCACCCAAAAATCTATATGGTTTAATGTGAACAATTATCATACAACACTATACATGTTTGGTATCATTTGAAATGTCTCAGTGTGACTGGTACAAAGGTCTCATTCCCACAGAAGTAAACCAAAAAGGTAATAAGGTGTGGAGAGTTTATAGATATCCTGTTAACTGCTGCGAGTGTGCCCCATGTAAATACTTCTGTCCCCAGTAAGTCTGGGACGGTGATTCATGCAAATTCTAATTGTGAGCTCATGTTTACATTTGAAAAGAGGTTTCTGCCTTGCTATTTGAAGTATTTAAAGAGATGCAGCAAGAGGTTCGGCGCGATTTGTAATTGAGTCAGGTACATCTTTTATCCTTTATCTCTTAGCATTTGATCTTATTGTATTGATTATCTTTCAACTGTTTATGAAATTGGCATGATACATTTACCTGACATAATAAAATTGTAAACATTTGATTTTATTCTGACTGACTCTGAAATTGTTTTCACAAGTAGATTAAACGGATTCGTATGTTACCGCAAGTTTTGCATCAGATTAGTGGCGACTAATATTTGGCACTAATTCAAGTGTACGTGTTTTGCAAAGACAAGAAGTGAATTTTCGTTAAGGGCATCCAACGTGCTGCTTGACCAACCTAAATCTGGGTGTGTCTTACCTCTGTTTTAATTTAATGTTACTTTAGAAAAGTGTACTTGGGAAATCACGGCATGGCCAATCCAAAGCTATTATAAGAGAAGTAATGTTGATCTACTTATATCTGTAGTAGTGGCCATACCTCTGCCTGAAGTAAACGTTACTTTAAATTCAAGTGTATGCAATCACGGGGGCTTTACCAAAGTATCTTTGATTGTGTAAGCGTGAATGCGACCGATCTCGGGTATATAGCCAATTACCTTTGTTTGGTGACCAAAACTGACGAGCTTGTGATCGTGAGACCCGCGTTAAACAGAAGGCGTGAGGTCCTCTGAGCGGCATAGCTTCCTAATATGAACGGGTAAAATATAAGTAAAGAGTTAAAAAGAATAATCAAATGTGCTGTTAAACTTTTATATAAATGACAAATAACCAATTGGCATCCTAACCTAAATTCAAGGTCGTGATAAAATGGAGTCAGATAAGTTTAATTGGAACTAAATTACTTTGCCACGCGAAAAGACAGTAGCGCGCTGAAACCTTCACCCGTTCTATCGGAAACCGCCATTGGACCGATTTAGATGGGCTTACAGCTGAGGGCAAAGTGAAGTTTCATAACTTTATATATATAGGCTATTTAACTGTACCATTGTAGTCTACTAGATCGCTGACTTTGTACATTTGACTTAATTGGTTGCTTGTCTTTATTGTATAGCTTAATATTCCTTTTACTATACTTTTATAATGGCTATTATTGATCATTAAAACAAAGTTAAAAACAAAACAAAGTTAACAAAACTTAACAAAAAGAGACGTTTGTTTTATGTCATATTTCATTTTATTACAGTGAAGATTATCAGAGTACATGTGCACATATTGCCTGAACCAAATATTAATGTTTTATTTTTTTAAATGTAAACAAGGCAGGGTTGTGTTCTATATAATGTTTTGTTATAAATATACATGCAGTGAAGACAATGTACGCGTTGCCTGAACCACATTTGTGTCGGTATTAATATGTTTACATTTTTTTTAATGAAAATGAAAAGATGCAGTGTGTTAGCCTGGGTTTCCCCATACTGCCTTTGCGCAGCGAGATTTTATTCACGCTGCTAGGCATCTGATACCATGGACCAAATTTTCGCCTCAGTAAGGGGACCAATCACAGAACGGGGAGGGAGCAGCAAGACGATGACGACGTCTATGCGACACACCGAAGCAGTTTGTTTATACCTATGGATCAAACATGGCAGCAGACGCGAAGTTACCTTTCGATGCAGCCTTGGATATTGTTCTAAGTAGTTTAGAACGCAAATAAATCTCTGACCCATCTTCCTCTTTCACTCTACATACGTCATCTAGTATAATTGAAACGATTGGCTATGAGCTACGTACAGGCGCATTTGATAGACATTCATAGCACCCAATAAACGGCTCTGTGCATTCGTAAACCACGCCTCAAATACGAGAAAATGAACATGTGGTTCCCAGACCACGTCTCAATGTCAATGAGACATGGTCTGACGTTAGCCAGGCTAGCAGTGGGTTGTTTTATAACATATTTCCTTTTATTGTTGCCTAAAATATGCATAAAGAGATAACCGGAGTAGCCAGAGCGAGCTGAGTGACGCTATCAAGAACGCAGCTGTTCCATTTGCAGAATTACTGGACTTGGCTCCTCTCGTCCTTGGCATGTCTGAACTACCAAGGATGGAAGTCCAAACTTGGTATTGAGAAATGCCCCTTAGCTCTAAACTCTGCAGGACATTGGCCCAGCAGATTGAATTTAGGCTTTTCACTTATAAATATACATCAACTCAGACATCAGTTGTGGTAAACGGAAGCTCAAGCATGTTCACTTGAAGCACAAGAACCAATGAGGCTCATTATCGTGTTAAGCAGCACGTTTGAGCTTCAGCCGGAACCAAGGAGGTTTGTTATTGCATGTCAAGCAGGTTTGGTTTAGCTTCTGTTTATGTTTGCTGATCAATGTTTATATGTGAATAAAAGGATCAATTAAATATGTTCATCGTATAAGGGATCAAGTCTCTTCAGAAACTTTAGGACTAAACCGCTCAATTCATATGGATTCGTTTTACGATCTCTTTATGAACTGTTTGAAGCGTCAAAGTGCCAGTTGGGTTGCTGTCTATGGAGAAACAGAAAGCTCTCAGATTTCATTAAAAATAACTTAATTTGTGTTCTAAAGGTGAACAAAAGTGTTACGGGTTTGGAACGACTTGAGTGTGAGTAACTAATGACAGAATTTTCATTTTTGGGTGAACCCTTTAAATAAATAAAAAGTGGGTTTGTATGTAATAGTGTACAATTTACTTTTTTCTTTGACTTGTTCTCATTGACAAATTGTTGATTAATGGAATCCTGGCCTCATTTGTTGATAAAACAGAACCAATACCAAAGACAGTGATCGGGAGAGAATCTTTCATTCTCGACACTGACCGTACTGAACTAAAGAGTGACAATGTGATAGAGTGGAGGTTTGAAAGCAAAGTCATAGCAAGAATCAGTAGAGTGGCCAATAAGACCTATAAGAAGACATATGATGGTGCTGATGGGGCATTCAAAGACAGACTGGAGCTGGACAGTAAGACTGGATCTCTGACCATCACAAACATCAGAACCACGGACTCTGGAGATTATCAACTACAGATTGCCAACAATGGAAAAGTGCAGTCAAACAAAAAATTCATTGTTCATGTCTCTGGTGAGTAACCCAGGTTTGCTTCAATATAAGATAATGTATATAAATAAAAAGTTGATAAATATATATTATATATATGTATATACAATGACAATAATTATTGATTGTTTTGTTTTCTCTTTTAGATCCCAGTAAAAGTGATTCAGAAACTCCATTGACGAGTGCAGCATATCCAGTATGAAGATGGTATAATATGTAATATATGTATATATATATATATATATATATATATATATATATATATATATATATATATATATATATATATATATATATATATGTACATACTGTGCCTCTAAAAATATTTCACACTCTTAAATGATTAGGAACTGACCATATGAAAGGTGTACTGTATAGATAATATAAGAGGTTATATGCACCACACATGTGTTTCTCGGACTGATGTGTATACAGTATTTCAATGGATATTCTCATATAAGTGAAAGTGCAGCTAATGAATGTGAATGCTGTGGTTTTGTACATATCCTACATGCTGTATCATGTTAAGTGTCGGTACGGAATTATTGTGGTGCTTTTATTGCAGAAATAATCATGCATTTTATTGACTGACCTCTACCATTGTAACTTTCAAATACATATAGCCTACTTCTTCTGTGAGTGCTTAATTGACTTAATCTTATCTATAAAGGCCCTTTCTATGGCTGTTTGTCCAAATAATAACAGAAAATGCTTATCACCACTGTTTTCTATCTTCATTCCTGCTTTACCTCTGTGCTATTATGAAACACTTGAAATTCAGTACTGTTAGTTATTTTATTTGCTTCTGATAAAAACATTTGCACCTCAATGAAAAAATGTAAATTATCTTTATTTAAAATTTCCAATTTTTTTTTTTATATACTTATTTGTTGTTTAATATATTTATAAAACATTTTTTGCACATGTTATTTAGCCTCATGCTTCTGGAGTTTTGAGACAGATTAATTACTCTATCTGCTCTTGGACGGGTTTTTTTTTTTTACTTTCAACTCTTAAATATAAGTGTATACGAGCGTATGGGACGCTCAAGGGGTTCAGAATTAATGCAGTCAAGATGGTGGTGTGTAGTTTCCGGTAAAAGAAACACCCGATGGAATCCCAGTTTAACTTATTTATTCAAGGGAAGTTTGTATATGTTACTTCACAAATGTGTGGTCCGTAATCATTTACGCACTGAGAAAGAACATATATATCGCTGAATAACAGGCCAGCCGGCCTAATTTGTAACTCAGCTGCCGATTTTGCATGTCTACACCTGGCTGAGCGCTGTATAATACCAGTCACTCAGGGGGCGTGGTTAGGGCTTTCTCACACAGCCGCCCCCAAATGTGTGTAAGGACATTTGAAACAGTGAGGAACCCTGACTAATGGGTAGGCTCAATAGTCATCATCAGAGAGTTTAGGGAGTGGGACTATACGGGATACAGGTCTCACATATGTGCGATTGTGTACCTTAACTTCAACTGTTCTGATACGGCCATCAAGTCCAGGAAAAGTATTAGTCACTTTTCCTACTGGCCAACATGCTCGTGGAAGTTGTGGGTCCACTATCAGTACCACCTGGTCTAGACCAATTTCTCCTCCATCCTTTCGCCACTTCTGTCTTTCTTGCAGATTCGGAAGATAGTAATGGATGAATCTAGACCAGAAATGGTCAGCAAGTACTTGACTATGTTTCCATCTTCTGGTTCCCAAAAGATTACTTGAATCATAGAGTACTTGTGGGAGTGAAGAATCGTGGCGGCCCATTAGGAGAATGCTAGGCGTAACCGGGTCCAAATCCGACACGTCTGAGGACACGTATCCCAAAGGCTTGGCATTTAGGATACCCTCTACCTCAATAAGCACGGTACGCAGTACTGTTTCAGTCACTGTTTGATCCTTCAGTACAACCTTTAGGGCTTGCTTTACTGACTTAATTTCCCGTTCCCAAGCTCCCCCGAAATGAGGGGCACTCGGGGGATTAAATCTGAATGAAATCTGTTGTTCTGCAAGTTGTTCCCTTAGTTGAGGCACCATGGCGTCATATGCTGATCTCATTTCTTTGTTTCCTCCAACAAAGTTGGTACCGTTGTCGGAAAGGAGCTCGAATGGTTTCCCTCTCCGAGATATGAATCTGCGGAGAGACATCAGAAAGGCATCTGTGTCAAGGCCCTCTAAGAGATCAAGATGGAGACAACGGGTGGTCAGACATTTGAAAACTATTCCCCATCTTTTCTCTGTTCGTCGGCCGATCTTCACTGCGAATGGACCAAAGCAGTCCATTCCAGTGGAATAGAATGGGGGTTTGTATAGACGTAGACGTGCTGGTGGGAGGTCAGCCATCTTGGGTATACTAGGCTTGGCACGCCATTTCCGGCAGTCCATACACATGTATTGATGCTTCTTGATAGCTTCCCTTCCTCTCAGAATCCAGTATCGTCTTCTCAGTTCGGCAAAGACTCTTTCTGGCCCAGGATGTAAAAGGGAGGCATCATAGTCCTTGATTAGAAGCTTGGTTAGGTTATGTTGCGGATCAAGCACAACGGGATGTATTGCATCCAATTCTATATGATTAGCATGTCTGAGTCTCCCTCCAACCCTGATAAGTCCACTGGCTTTATCATACTCAGGTGATAAGGATGCTAATCTGCTGTTGGATGGTAATGGTCGCTCAGATGCGAGAGCCTTGAAATCCTCAGGAAATGAATCTTTCTGAGCCTGTTGTAGAAGGAGCTTCTCTGCTGATATGTAACCCTCTGAATCATCTGTTGAATGAGTGAAAGATGTAGCCGCCCCATGAAGGGATGTCACTGTAGATTTGAGCAATTCAGTCCAAGTACTAAATTGGTTGACATCAGGAAGGGGAACATCGGAACTAATGCACGCATGCAGGCAAATTGCTGATTTTTTCAACTCTGCCTCTGATTCAGGTTCCTCTGATGGTAAAGTGGGCCAACATGACTCTGGCTGATGCAGGAAATGTGGACCATTAATCCAACGGCAAGGTGGGGCTAAAGCCTTCAACGACTGGCCTCGTGTTATAACATCAGCAGGGTTGTTCGCTGAATCAACATACCTCCAAGAATTAATATCGGTGAGTGACTGAATCTCGGCCACTCGTGTTCCCACGAAGACTTTGTATCTGCATGATTCAGATTTAAGCCATTGGAGGACAGTGGATGAGTCTGACCAGAGAATGACATTATTGATGTCCACAGTTAGTTCTGCTTGAAGGATATTAGCCACCTGCGCTCCGGTAAGTGCCGCACTCAGTTCTAGCCGAGGGATCGTCATTTGCTTCCGAGGTGCCACTCGAGAACGGGCTAACACAAATGAGACATATACATGTCCTTCATTGGTTTCTGTGCGCATGTATGCCACTGAGCCATAAGCCCTCTCAGATGCGTCGCTGAATATATGTAAATCCCGATTGAGGATTGCCCCATGGTCCTCAAATGGAATGTAACACCGTGGGATGGCGATCTGATTCAAACTTTGGAGCTCTTGTTGCCAGTCTTGCCATCTGGTCAACAGACTATCAGATGTGATTGTGTCATCCCACCCAAGATTGTTCTTCCACAAATCCTGGACCAACACTTTGGCTCGGGTAGTAAACGGAATTAGATAACCCAGTGGATCATATTGAGATGCCAAAACTCTGTATACATTACGCAGAGTGGGTTCAAGGCATCCAGATTGGCTGGGTTTGTAACTGAACGAGTCTTTGAGGCAGTTCCACAGTAGCCCGAGTGTACCTTCCAGGAGGTCAGTGCTCTTCTGTGATAGCCAGAGTTCACTATTCTGTGATCTTGCTTCAGAAGGAAGATGCTGGATAACTTCAGGTCTGTTGCTGGCCCATTGACGGAGCTCAAACCCACCGGTGAGCAAGAGTTGCCGTAGGTCGTCTACTAATGCTCTAGCTTCAGCAACAGTTTGAAGGCTATGGAGACAGTTGTCTACATAGAAAGAGTCTTTGACCGTTTTCACCTGAGCTAGGTCCCATTGTGGGTGGTTCTGAACAATTTCCTGGAGTGCATATATGGCACAGCACGGGCTGCACGTTGTGCCAAATGGTAAAACTTGCCATTCGTAGATCCTAGGCTGTTCTGTCCTCTGCATATCTCTCCACAGAAAACGCACTACAGGTTTATCACTTGGCAAGAGGCGAACCTGGTGGAACATGCCCTTTACATCTCCGCTGATGGCTACAGGGTATTCACAAAACCTCAGCAAGACACCAAGTAGAGACGGACCGAGAACGGGCCCAGGCAAGAGGATGTCATTTAAAGATTGGCCTTGGTATGAATACGAACAGTTAAAAACAATTCTGTCTTTGTTGTTATGCGTCACCATATGGTGAGGAATGTACCACGACTCCGGGGATTGCTCAGCTTCTTCCATTGATATCTCTGCCACATAGCCAGCTTCTTGAAGTTTCCTCATTTCAGAACAGTAAGACTCAGTTCGCTTAGGGTCTTTAGCAAGTCTACGCTCAGTGCTTCGAAGGTTCGCCATTACTGCTTCCTTTGGGGCTTTAAGTTGTTCAGCATTGGGCCGTCTAAGCAAGGGAGTGGCGTATCGCATAACTCCACTGACTTTTACCTTTGTAGTATTTGTCTGGAGAAGACTGAGGGCATATTGGTCTTGTTTGGAACGAGTGGCTGTCTTCTCGTTTACGTAGGGTAGAGTATCAATTTGCCAGAGGCGTTCCACATTCTTGAATAACTCTGTATTCTGAATGGTCGTGGTTATGTGAAAACACCGTGAAGTGGAAAGAGTGGTTTGACTGAGCCCAATGGGACCTTGGAGGGTCCAACCGAGTCTGGTACAGACGGCAATCGGTCCATTTGCAGGTCCTATGCACACTGGCTGAACAGGAGTAAGCAGGTGAGGCATATCAGACCCAATGAGCAGTAGAGGTTGGGCTCGGTCCATCAAGGGTAATGGCAAGGACCTGATATGCTCATACTTGCGCTGAAGAGCTGACACAGGGTAAGAATGTTCGGAAAGTCTCAGGTTAGCTGCGGTAAAAGCATGAGGAATCAGGAATTTTCTGCATGGTTTGTGCATGGGTGACACATGAAGGGAAACGGTGGATCCATGCAGATTAACTACATCCTGATGAACAGTGCGTAGAGTGAGTGTTTCAGGTTCCGTCGGGAGATTCAACTGGTCTACAGCCTGTGACAAAACAATGCT